AACTATTAAGTATAATAGAGAACTTTGAAGGTTTAAAACCTTTGTAAAATAGTTACAAAGGATAAAGAAAAGGGGGAATGAGAGAAGGCCCGAATTATTCCTCTTGTTTAGAGCAGAGAACTTGTTTTCAGTAGCATCTTAGTTGGTCAGCATGTTTCACTTGTGTTATTATTTTTCCTTTCACTCACATAGTTTAGTTAGAAATGTAACAAGATGTTTTGAAATGTGCAACTGTTCTCTGAGAAGATTTCAGTAGGCCTTGAGATGGTTCGTTAAGCTTCCTGAGTACCCCCCCACCCCCAATAACAGGGGCCCAAGACGCCAGTGTCAAGATAAGCACCTGCAAATTAACTAAAAACTGACCTTCTTGGAGCATCCCAGGACTGAAAAACAGATGAGCTAACTACATGACCAAATATGGACAAAGGAAGACCAAAGTTCAATCATCGGACACGGTGAGGAAGACTATGAACGACCACCAGAGGGCGAAAAGACCCTAACCCTAATTTTACCACGCATGCTCGGACTATGTAGATAAATTCTAGGAAATCTTATGTATATGTAGATTAGTTCTAAGAAATTCACTGAATATGTATAACCTCACAGCATATATTCTCTGTGATTTTATCTGTCCGTTAGAGCACTTGTGGTGGAGCGATCCCCAGTGTTGCCCAGCGCTGCAAATAAAGAATACCTGCTTAACAGTTATACTGGACTCTAACTGTTGAGTGAATTTCTGCGTTTCACCTTGTTCCAGCATTGTCTAAGGTCTGGAAATCCTAGGTGGTGGGTGCACACATAGTAGTTTTCTGTCACCTTTTAAGTTCATCTTTATCAGCTGATTAGCATAGTAGACCAAGAGAGGCAGGTACTCCATGAACTCATTTCCATGAGAGACAAGGAAAAGGTAGAGCATGGGTTCTGCACATGCACTGAGGGGAAATGGGGTGCACCAACCCCCTTGTCGATCAAGTCGGTGCTCATGCTCGCTCCCTCACTCTTACTTTTTCCTCAGTTTTTGCTTAGGTCATTCTATGGTTTCACTCAGTCTGTGTTTCCCTCCTAAGGAGTCTGGCAATTCAACCTCAAGGGAGTGAAGCCGTGCATCCTTCGATACACTCTGCACTTCCTTGGGTGGCATTCCTTAGACTAATCACAAAGGCCACAGCTTGTCAAAGGTTTCTGTGCTGATGAATGTTTGAGGCATTAATTCCTTCAGTTCCTTACAGTGTCTCACAGCTCTTACGAGTTGAGGCTTCCTACACACATCGCCTTGCTTGCTCATGCACTTTTGGTGATTCACAGAGATGATGCAGTGCACCTTGGTGGTCTGGCCTGCTGTGGACTATGAAGAGGGATGCTTTCTCAGAGGGATCCTTCCTCACCCAGACACACAGGCTCTCTCTTGCCTGCAGCAGGGGGCTGCTGCCAGCCAGGTAGCCTTCATTTTTTTTCTTTTTTGCCTTTCTCTGGCTTCTCCTGCTTCAGCCATGCAAACTCTTGTCCACTCTCCACAGCCAGTAAGTGCTTCGCCTGTTCCTTTTCGCTCCCATGCTGCGACAAGTGCGAGGACCACCAGACACAACCCACACAAGCCTGAGGCACCTGCAGTCAACAGCATCCCCAAGAGGAGGAACAGACAAGCGCATCCTCACCGCAGCCTCCAGAGGAAGGAAAGAAGGAGCTGTGACCGTTATCACAGTAGATTGCCCCTGAGAAGAGCACCCTCATTCCACAGCGGCTTCCAGAGATGCAGAGAGGGGCAGCTCGCTGCTTTCACTGCAGGGCTTGGGGCTGGCCTGGGGCTACGGGACAGGCTTCAGGGGTGGTGCTGGAGCTGGGGGCAGCTTCCCCGGGGAGACAGGGGCCAGGGGAGGCTCAGAAGGAGTTGGGGAGGTGCCCGGTGTCTGCTCCTTGGGGGTACGCTCGTCTCCAACACATGCTGCTGCACCAGGAGGTGGCTCTTGAAGAAACCTTTTAAACAAACCTTTAGCCCAGGGGAGATGAGAGGGAGGGGGAAAAAAAAACAAACCCCAACCCCACCGATGGGGCTTGTCCTCCCTTCCTGGGGATACGCAGTGTGCGAGCAGTGGGGTGCCCCCCTTGTCGTCCCCCCCCCTGCAGCTGGACCTGTTGCATCTCAGCATCTCCCCCAGGATGGGGGTGTCTGGGGTGGGCACAGGGAGCAGGCAGGCAGGGGTACCCCCTATACGTCACCCCGTGCTCACATCGCCTGCCCCGATGCTGATGAATTTCCTTCTGTTTTTTTTTTTTTTTTTTTGGTTTTGTTTTTCATTAGGTTTGCTGTTTTTATTTGAAGATAGATGGGAAGAGGGATGAAAGAGGGATTTCCCAGTGCCCAGCACAGCTCCTGCCCCTCTCTCGAGCTGCCCCTGAGGAAGGGCTGGCTCCGAGTCACACCAGCCCACTGGTTAAGCTGGGGGCCCCCAGCATAGCTGAGGATGGGATGCCTGGAAAATGAGCCCACTCCCCGCGACACACAGGGAGGCAGCATCGAGGAAAGGGGCCAGTGTGCTCAGGGCACCTTCTGACACCACCACCATGAAAAGGATTTCAGAGGGCTGCCTTGCTGTAAGGAAAAGGGCCCCATCTCTGCCTTGCCCGGGACCGTTGGGCCTTGCTGACAGGCTTTTCTGCTCCAGCGGTCCAAAAAACCCACGACGAAATCTGGCTTGTTGAGTGGCGTGTGGGAATTGGCAAAAGTCAAACCTAGGCGAGCGGCTGGAGCAGAGTTGGCATTGAAGTTCATCTGTGTGTGTATGTCTGTAGCTGTGTGAGTGTGGGATGCTGTGAGGGGGAAGTGAGCTGGGGAGGGGGCTTAACCCCCACAGGGCAGGGGAAGCCCACCCGTGTCTCTGGGCCAGGAGGAGAGCAGAGCTGCTTCAGGCTGGAAAGGCAAAGGGCTCTTCATTAGCCATGGAACCGCAGGCCGTGTACCATGCTCCACACCGTGCCAAACCGAGAGCCCCTCTGGGCTCGCAGATGCCGTCGAACTGAGCCGTGGGCGCCTGGGGACCGGGGGACAACCCAGGGTTTTATTTCCCCTCTCCTCTCCCGTGTCATCCCTTCATCCCCAACCTCCACCCCAGCCCGGCCAGGCCAGCGTCAGCCACCCCCTCGTCCACCCGGCATCCCCGGGGGGGGGGTCCAGCCGGGCTGCTCCTGACCCCGGGGGAAATGGCTCCAGCTGGGATGCAGAGCTGCAGCTTATTTCCTGACCAACCTGGAATGATTTCAATTTTACGAGGCACTTTGGAACTTCCTTTTGTTTCCTGGGTTGCATTTTGGTTACTGGGTAAAGGAAAGCATCACAGCATATTGTATTGTATTGTATTGTATTCTATTCTATTCCATTCCATGCCATTCCAGAGCTTAGCTATCAGTGTCAGAAATGACGCCATAAATGTGATTTAGCGTCTCAGTGCTGTCCCTCGTATGTGATGAGGCATGGAGAAAGCTGTTGGAGAGAAAAGCAGCGCCTCAACCCAAAGCCTACACGCATTCTGGCATCCCTTATGAGCTCCGGTGGGTGGGTTTATTTTCTGTGCTTTTTTCCCCCTGGGGTGCTGCTGACCCTGCGCTGGCTGGCCTCAGAGAGAGGGGGGCTGGGCTGGGCACCAGGCCGGGTGGGCTGTGGGGGCTGCGGAGCAGAGAGCAGAGCGTGATTCTACTGGCAGGCAGCCATCCCCAGCTGTGCCAAGGGTGGCCGCGTGTTCAGGTGGCTCACAGCCACCCAAGGCAAGTGCCTGGCGCAGCTGGCAGCTGCACAAGGGGGTGGAGGGATCGATAACCTGTGCTCTGAAGAGGTCTTTGACCCATGTTTCATCAGGCACTGCTCTCTTGTGCCACAGGCTGAAGACCTTTGGGGGTTCAACCTCCTGGCCGGGGTGGGTCCCACCAGAGCAGGCTGTCAGCTTGTGAGGAGGAGGAGCGGTGAGAAGGCTCGTCTGGAGCCTCCCCCCAGGCACCCTCTGCCCCTGGCCTGGCCCCCACCCCTCAGCCCTGGCCTCGGCCCCAGCCCTCGTGTGGGCTGCGCTGTGGCCGTGCCGGGCCTGGCCCGGGAGCTCACTGATCCCGATGTGGCTTCCCGGGGTGAGCGGGGACCTGCCTCGGCCCCGCAGCCTCGGGCTGACCCTGCCACCGTCGCGGGAGCAGCGGGGCAGAGCCCCGATGGGGCTGTGCCTGTCTCGCCCCCAACCCGCGGCATCTGGCCTGCTGCCTCCTGCCAGGGCTCCCTGCTCCTGCTCCCCTGCTCCTGGAAGGGGCAGGGCAGGGCTGGGAAGGTAAATCCTGGGATCACACAGGGATGTTGTTGCTGCAGCATCTGTGGCAGTCAGCGAGGCAGTGTTTCACAGGAGTGGAACACATAAACCTCAGTCTGATGTCCGTGTGTTTGAAGAGATGCAAGGTGAAGAGGCATGTGGAAGCAGAAGTGTTATTTACTGTCTGTATGGGTGTAATTTTGTGATCTGATGAATGTGTTAATTCGTTGAAATGAAGACATATTCAGGAGTTTCCAGGCATTTAGGCCATTCTCTTGCATTATACATGGGTGCCAAAGCCCTCTGGATTTCAACTTAACCTCTCCCGCTGCACATGAATGAAGGCTTTCCTGGCTCAGCATAACCTTGCCCTTTTCTTTAATACACAAGTCTGACTTACGAATACTGAAGCAGATAGACGGCAGAATTTTGACAGGTTGAATTATTTGCCTTGTATTGTAAGGAGAAAAAATAGCCCAACTTAGTCTGTGTTCTCATGTAATAAATCACATTCTCCAGCACGCACGAAATGCAGGAGGGCATACAGTCATTTGTAGAGAAATACTGCACTGTTTTCATGGAAAGGTGTTTTAAAAGTGTCTGGGAATTGCAGATGAGCAGTGTGAGAAATTATAGAGGGAGAGGGTGCATTACTTGATACCATACTTTAAATGCACCTCTAGAACCTGGTTATGACTTTAACTGCTGAGAGACACCTTTGTGTTAAAGAACTGTATTTATCTGGAATAAGTAGTGTTGATGGTGCTAGTACATAATTGATGCAATTACATATAAGGCTGTATTATTTCGGGTCCCTGTTACAAAATCACATCAAATTCTGTGTGCATTAGAGCGGTTTTTAAATTAAAAAATATAAATTGAGCTGAACCAGGCCACTCACCTCCTCTAGAAATTGATTCTTGCAAGATACTTTTGCTGAGGGATGAGTCCAGAAGAACATACTCTCAGGCAATCCCCGGGCACCCAAGCAGGCAGCCATGCTGTCCCACAGGCGGGCTCTGCGGCAATTCCTGTCTGCCTCAGCGCTCGGAGGTGCAGGTGATGCGACGCAGAGCCAAAGCTGCCCTTCAGACTTCCAGAGCTGCATCTCCGCTTTGTTATCGCTCCGTGTTACGCAGGTGTGGGAGAAACCCTTAGGTCTGGCTGGAAATGGAGTCCTGGAAGCATCTGTCCTAGCCCTGCTCTGGATCAAACCAGCTGAACCACATTCAGCACGTGTTCTGTTTTCACTGGTGCCACTGGGAAATGAGGATTGATTTTCACTCTTCACTGGGTGCTTCTCTGCCCAATGACTGCATCAAACTTGACATCAGTCAGCTTTTTCAGGACAGTCAAGGCACGTTCTGGAAGCAACCTGAAAGAGATCATAATGTGAGATGAAACGTGGGGTAAGAAACTGAAGTCATGGGAAGAAGTGGCACTGCAGGTGAGGGAAGAGCTGGTCTGGGAGCGGAAGCGTGCACACGCAGACTGAGACCAAGGCTTAAACTGGGTGTTACTGCCAAAGAATAAGTGCCCCTCATCAATCTGTCTAGTTTTAACTCCAGTCCCAGCCATCTCCTTTTATGACAGTTCCAAGACAAGTATGTACTGGACACGATTTAGGTTGCAATATCGCTACAAGATCCAGGAAGTTTTAATATTGAACATGGACATCTGCAAATGCTTTCTCTTTGCTTTCAAAACCTGATCTGGTTAATCTGGGGAATTCTTAGGGGTCAAAAAAAAAAAAAAAGACCAAACATCTTTACACTGCCTCATAAAAAGAAATTTGGAGTTAGACCCAAGTTTCCTGGCTTTCACAAGGAAGAAATTACAAGTCTTTCATGAGATACTATAAAAGTTAACTGAAAACTTAATTTAGTTGTTCTGATGTTAATTCTAGGTTTGGAACCTTAGCTCTGATGAAAATACCTCTTCAGCAGAGCAGCTGCAATGGATATTAAAGACATGTAAGAGAACAAATCTTGCTTTACATGGCAGAGTTAAGCAATAGAGCCATTTAGAGCAATTTTCCCAGCCTCTGTGATCTAAATCATTGGTGTTGACATGAAGAAACAAATACGAGTAAGCATCAGGTCCTCAGCTCTGAGGCTGCTTTTTCAGAGAAAGTATTGTTTGCAGGCCAAAGGCAAATAGCAAACTGTGAAGAAAAAGGGTTCTCTTGTTCTCCCCCTCCCTCCCTATCAGCCTGAAGTGTAGTTGAGATCTCCACTGACAACAGTTAGCTGCAGAAAGTGGATCATAATGACCTATAAGGGGACTCGATAAAATCTTTCTGTGAATGATGTCTGCTGTTGTCATTAAAGAACCACTGCACTATTTGGTTAACTAGTGGTGTGTTCTAAAATACAACTTGAATCAGATGCTACAAGTTTGAAGGTTGTACACTCAGCAAGATATATTTGATACATATGGAGGGTTTTTTATTTGGTTGTATTTTTTTCCTACTTACTTTTCAAGAAGTAAAGCAACGCGTTGAATTGATGGAACAAAAACCATTTTCTTGTTGGTCAGTATTCCTTCCATCAGGGCCTCTACAACTTCCTCAGTCTCCAAAATCTTTCCTAGCCTAGACAGGAAAGCATACATGTAAGAGCTACGGTGGTGAAACAGGCGTGCTACTACCTGATGTAGGATGCTTCACATAGGCACAACCTCAGGTAATTCAGATGCAAGCATGATGTGGGTTAAATGACACTGAAGATTTTCCTTACTCAATAGTATATGCAAATTTATCTCTTTTTATACAGTTAGTTGGAATACAAGGCTTAAAGCTGGGGCTAATACATAGTGCCTTGATGCAAAGAAGGAAGGACGGGAAAGCAGAGTTTTGATAGTTACCTTGTACTGGGGTTTTTGACAAATCCAGTGTTTATAAAAATTGGACAAAGACATGTAGTTTTTATTCCATCCTTTCCCAGGGTAGACAGCTCCTCTGTCAGAGCCTTATGAAAACCCACCGCAGCAAACTTGCTTGAACTGCAGGAAGCAGAAAGGCACTAATGAGAAGGCAGAAATATTATTTCTAGCTTTTTACAGCTGGAAGTGCCCTAGAAGATCACACAGTACTGACTGGGAGGCAGGAAAAAAAAAAAAAAGTAACCCAGCTGAGAGACAGCACAAAGACTAATTGTAACTTCCCCCGTGCCAGAGTGTAGTGCTGGATTAAACATTGCTGCTTGGGGGAGTCATTGTGGAGTGCAGGGCGAGTGTCTTCCAGAAAAAGTCACCTTACTTGAAAACAGATGGACAAATGTCAGAAATTCTTAGAAAATAACAACTAATATGCATCAATCGATGGACTTCCATTTTTTCCCAGGTGAGAAGATTCTTAGAAGAAATGCAGTCTGAATCTCTAAAATGAAGAATGATGGGCAGGGTGGAAAGGGAAAACAAAAATCTACTGTAGCTCATACCACATAGGAGTGCCTCGTGGCATCAACATCTGAGTTGCATTGGTTAGGTTGCTCACAACATAGTAAGTATTACCATGTTCTTACCTTCCAAAGTGTAATTTTACAGTCAAAAAGCAATTTTATCCCATGATGACAGAAGTACTTCTATAAACTACAGTCAGTACCACAGTGGCATAATGATGAAAAGCTACTCATTAGGGGTTGACTTGACACACTACAACAACTCACTGAAGCACTACTTTCTAAGAAGGAAAAGGGAAGAGGATACCTTTTTTGCTAAGCGAAAGTCTGGATTGGTGAGGGAGAGAAAAAAAGGAGAAGCTTTCATTAGTTGATGTGTCCCATGACTACTCCTTCATACAAGCATTGCTCCTGATTCAGTCAGAGCTGATAAGCAAACCGGGGGGAACGACCAGGCATCCCTAAGTGCTGGCTCTTGTGCTTTCCTCCTCCTTAGCACAGCCCTTTCCACATACCTTACTCAGAGGGAGGACTCGTTTGGTTACTCTGAGCGTGCTGATAGATAACATGCAATTAAAATAAAAAAAAAAAAAAAAAAAAAACAAAACAAAAGAAAGAGAGCTGGTTGTAAAATGACTTACCAATAAGCCACCATGAAAGAAGTCACAAAATGACCTGCTGCTGAAGCCACCGTGACAATGTGACCGTAGTTGTTGCTCATCATGGCTGGCAGAAAAGCTCTTGTAGTCTTGAAAGTCATTTAAGCCAAGAGGCAGAAGTGGAATGGGAGAGGGAAAGGGGGAGAAAAATGTTTTTTTTAGGCATATTCACCACTGACCCCGACTATAATTAAGTAACTAATGCTATGTGCTGCAGAGCCCATCAGATTCTGAGAGGCAGGGAGGTGTCCGTTCTCCATTCAGCTGTGACAGCTGGCAACCTGTTTTCCAAATGGGCATGTTTCGGGAAGTTAGCTATAAACAGGAGCTGATTCTCACACCTTCCCAAAGCTGCTTTTTAAGTTTCAGGTGTCAGCAGCAACGCTGCCAGTGTCTCACCCCAGCATGTACAATAAAACGCTCATCAACCTGCAGCATCCCTTTTCTTCTGCCGCCAACAACAAGTCCTTACCAGCTGAATCCCTGCCCCTCTGTAACCCCACCTGGCAGCTGCCCTGACCCAGGGCTCAGCTGTGGGCGTGCCAAGGACCCCAGGCCCAACTCTGGTGGGGCCCCGCTGTGTCACCTAGACTGGGACTGCTGGCAGAAAGCTGGGAGAACTCGGCGCAGAGGTGAGAGGGGCGCAGGCCAGGCCATGCAGGCAGCTGTGGGGGTGGCCCTCCCCTGCTTCGCCCAACCCGCCCAGCTGTTCGGGCCACATGCCAGCTGCCTTTTGTGCAGCTCAGCCGGTAAAAACATTGCTTTGGGTTTTTCAGCTGTGTATCTCCTAGTTGCAGGGTCTCAGTGCTCAGCTGCAGGTGCCCAAAACACTCGATGCCAAGTCGAAACCTAATACGCCTCTGACAGAGACCAAACTGTGCTGAAGATGAGGCCGTGGCCCCGCTAGCTCACCCAGAGAAAGAGGAAATGAAGAAACTGGGCCAGGCTCAGATCGGCAAGAGGATCCTCAAGTTTCCCAACTGTCAGTTTAGCTGGGTGTCCCTGTGCTATAAACAGCCAAAAGATGCTTTTGTTCTTCACTGGTAGCTGACAATAATTGCTAGTCTAAAGATAATTGCTAGTCTAAATATGCTGCCTCAGCAACACTCCCAAAAACACAGGTATGAAGGTGGTAGTGGCCCTTACCCAGAGGTGAGCAAGACTGTTGACTTCAAACATTCTTTGAATCTGGTGGTCCTGAGTTGAGAGCAGGTCAGCAGCTGTAATCACACCTGCGTTATTCACCAGGATGGAGACATCCCCAATTTCCTTTCTCACCTTTTGGACACAAAAAACCCAGAAAAGTACGTGTCACTCGTTATCAGAAAAATGCAAGGCTGTGGAAGACGAGGGGTAATTAATTTAATGCTTAATGCTGTTTCTTTTAGGGAGAGGAAGATGGTGCCGCGTTTCCACGTGAGGTGGGAACTCTGCAGTAGTACCATGAAACCCATTTTAGATCTGATGCTTCTCCCTTTATTACTGCCAGGAGTTACAGTCTTCCACACAGCACCCGCACACACGGTACCCGCTGTGTAGTCACAGTCAGGACTAAGGACGTACAGACCGTTTTGAGCCAGCCAGACCACATCCTTTACAACAAAAAGTTTCCAGTGTCCCCAGTGTTATCTGCGTGCTGTTCAGGAAAGTGAAGGACAGAAGTTCCGTCAGGGTTTGAAAGTCTAAAGAACAAACGTGTCAGCAAGGCGTGATACGCCCCAGCCTCACAAAGGAGGGTGAGGCTGGCTGCGATCTCGGAATTGCTGCCTCCCTCTCTGTACAGAAAGTGGCAAGAAGCGGGGAGACTCCTGGGGCTTGCACGATTCGCATACCACACCTCTCCTCTTGTTTTCCTGGCTTTTCCGAAAATCAAGCCCGTTTGGGTAAACTCTTCGGGCGTGCCTCTGCTCCCCTACCTTCTCCGCAGCACTGTAGATTTCCTCCCTTTTGCTGCAGTCCACCACGAAGGCTTGAACAGTGGCTCCCAGCCTTTCACATTCTGCTGCCGTGTCCTCCACGCCGTGCTGTAAGAGGCAGAAAAGAGACACACGCACGCGTGGCTGTACCCTGCCTGCCTGTTGCCGCTCGCGCTCCACGGCAGAACAGCCAGAGGCTGACGATGTCTCTCGAGTGAGTGAGCAGCTCACGACTCCCCAGGGAAGGAGCTGTAGCTGGGGTCTGTGGGAGGACTGGTGTTCCAACCTTCCATTTTGGGCCTGCGTAGAGCAACAGGAGTGATTTGCCTTGGCAAAGCCCACGCAGCTGGGCTGCAGGAAGGGGCCCGCGGTGACTCCCACAGCCTCCCTTGGCAAGGTGCTGCAGCGCCTGCTTCTCTCCTCCCTCTCAATGTATTGCCCAGCAGCAAAGCTCACTTGCTCGCCAATACAGTTTTTCCTTCTTCCTCCATTCCAGTGGACACGAACAACGCTCGCCTTGGCCGCGGCCCTTTACACACTGGGAGACCAGTGCCCTGTGCCACTCTTCCTGCCCCCCGCCCCGAGTCACGCCTTCTTTGAAGAAGGTGGCACTTGAGCACACAAAGCACACACAAAGACTGATCTCAGCCATAATGGGTTGCATGAATGGACACAAAAATGTTACGCTAGATCTTCCCTGTCGATACATGCCCTTATGCTAGGCTTCTATTGTGTGGGGTTTGGTATTTTTGGTGGTGGGTGGATGTTTTTTGCAGCTCCAGGATGCCATGAGGAACTCCTCTGCAGTTTCCGTGTCAGAAACCTTTCCTGCGCACGGCTGCCCGGCCGCTCACCCCCTGTCCAGCCCGTCGCTCCTACGCACCTTGCCTCCACCCCTACTGAATGACCTCCTGTGTGTTTGCATCCTCCCCTTGCCAAGCTCTGTTTGCACGCCAGTCAACCTGGCCGACACAAAGAGCTTGGATCTCGTGCCAACCCTTAGCAAGGCACCGTCCCTGTGCCAGGGGACAGGGGGGCTCACACACAGCTCAGCGCCGTGCTGCTTGGCCCTGGGAGTCGGTTTCACGACAAACCCCGAGCCCTGGGAGGCACCAGGAGCCCAGCCGTGACCCGCGCCGTTACCTTGTTGATGTCCCACAGAACCAGCCTGCTCTGGCGCTTGGCGAACTCCAAGGCCGTCGCTCTCCCCACACCGTGGCCAGCACCGGTGATGAGCACGAGCTCCCCGCTGACAGACTTTCTCCTCGCAGGGACGAAGAGCTTCACAAAAGCCTCTAAGTAGGCGTAGACGAGCGTGGCCAGGAACAGGAGGAGGTCCAGGAACGGATTCATCGCTCCTCCGAACGCCGCCGGCCAGAGCTTCTCACCTCCTGAGGGGGCTGCCGCGCGCTTGACTGAGGGACGCGGGGAGCGGCGTCGCCCCACCTGCCGCGCCGGCGGCAGCCTATCAGAGCGCGGGGGATTGTCCGGGGGGCGGGCGGGAGCGGGCCGGGGCGGGGCCCGATGGCGGCGGGTTGTGGGCCCGGGGGGCGGGCGGCAGCGCCGCGGCCTGGCGGGAGCCAAAAAGGGGCGTTTTTGAGCGGTGTGTGGAGTGAAGGTTGCCTGAACATCTGTGCTCTAACCAAAACCCAGTTCAGATTAGAGCTGTAGAAAAGGGTTCTTTTTTCTTTGCCCTTTGGGATTTGGCTGCGCTGTTGCTCATCTTGTTTGTTGGCTCCAGCAGGGAGACTTCCCGCTTTTCTCTTGGGTCTTCGTTCTGTTCTTAATTAACACAGGGGCATTTGGGCCGGGCCCTGATTGCACAACGCTGCGGTGCTGCCCTTTGCCTGTCACGGGGCTCCAGCCAGGGCTGTGGCTGAGGCGGAGGAGGCAGGGAGGGCAGAGACGTGCTGGCCCCAGGAGCCACCTCAGAGGGAGGCAGAGCACGAGGCCACAGTCACAGACCTGACTGATCTCGAGCCCTAAGCCAGAGTGTGAGGTGCCGCTCTTCAAATTTGGGACTTTGCTGTAGGCTAACATGAAGCTTGCTCGCATGGGCTCCTGCTAGGCGCCCGCAGTGACGAGGCTTTGGGATAAGCTTCAGTTGCCTGCTGAGGACAGGAAGAGAACTGAGGAGTCTGGGAGGGCTTGATGATTCAATTCTGTCGCTGGCGTTCAGGAGATGGAGGTTTAGATCCTTGCTTTTGCGTCTGTTTCTTCATACCAAGCAGACTTTCAGCTGTAGGAGGCACCGAGGGGAAACGCAGCCACATGCAGAGTCGCGCAGAAGTTGCGTCACCTGCTAATTCCCCTGGGCTCTGAGAGCCTGGGCTAGATGTGGGAAAGCAGGAGTGAACCCAGTCGCCCTCTCCTTAGGTGCAAGTGTGTTGAGAAACAGACTCTGCAGGAGAGTGCTGCCCCTCATTCCCTAGAAGGATTTTGTCTTTCAATGTAATGCTGCCATCAGAATCTGAATGATGCTCAGGGCTAGTGGGAACAGCGGGCCAGGAGAAGCCAGATGTCTCGTCTGACGTGTCCCACTGCAGCCAGTCCTTCCCCTGCCTGAGCAGAAGGCCTGCTCATCAGGACACCGGCTCATCTATCTCAGGGGTCTTTCTGAGCTGCATCTTTGGGGGCATTGGACTGCACCGTACCGTTCCTTTGAGGAAGGATTCAAGCCCTGAAACAGCACAAACGTGCAAGGCATGCTCCAGGAGAGGCTAAGCTGGGTCAAAAGCTAAGAATGTTTGAGAGTTGTCTCTTGTATTGCTGCAGACACCTACAAATAAGTAAAGTACTGATTAGCCTCTAGGCTCCAGTGTTAAGGACAAACATTTTTCCCAGTGCACTGCTCCCTCTGAGGAGGGCTTTTGAAGCGGATGTATGTTTAGACCCTTCGGGGTTTTTTTGATGCATTTGTATGTTTAGACCCTTTGACTCTTTACTGGGTATGAATAGGTGGAAGTAAATAATGAAAAAACCAAACAGATGTGCTCTGGCTTCAGTTGTCTCATATACATGACAGGACTGCCATCTTAGCAAGAGGACAATATGCAGCTCAAAAAAAAAAAGCAGGGCCAGCACAAAACACACAACTTGGCTTTGGTTCTAGATAGAAACCACACCCATGTATTCTTTAATTGGCTTTCAACTTTTTTTTTTTTTTAATGCCCTGATTTTTGGATACCACTCCTTTCTTTTCCTTTCCTGGCTACAGGAGTCTTGCACTGTGAAGCAAAAGTTCCCAATCTGGGAACTTGTGCTTTGGCACCCCCTGAATGTCCTGTTATATGAGTGTTACACTGGCAAAAAGGAAACCATTTTTGTGTCATTTAGCAATTGTTTCTGCTGCCGGCAGTGCAAACGTCTACTTATTGCCACCCAAAGCAGGAGGAGCTGGATGACGGGAGCTCTCCTTTTTTCTGAAGAACCTCAGTTTACAGACCAGGAAGAAATGCTGAGGAGCATGGGCGTGATTCTACTGGCAGGCAGCCATCCCCAGCTGTGCCAAGGGTGGCAGCGTGTTCAGTTGGCTCACAGCCACCCAAGGCAAGTGCCTGGCGCAGCTGGCAGCTGCACAAGGGGGTGGAGAGATCGATAACCTGTGCTCTGAAGAGGTCTTTGACCCATGTTTCATCAGGCGCTGTTCTCTTGTGCCACAGGCTGAAGACCTTTGGGGGTTCAACCTCCTGGCCGGGGTGGGTCCCACCAGAGCAGGCTGTCAGCTTGTGAGGAGGAGGAGCGGCGAGAAGGCTCATCTGGAGCCTCCCCCCAGGCACCCTCTGCCCCTGGCCTGGCCCCTGCCCCTCAGCCCTGGCCTCAGCCCCAGCCCTCGTGTGGGCTGCGCTGTGGCCATGCCGGGCCTGGCCCGGGAGCTCACTGATCCCGATGTGGCTTCCCGGGGTGAGCGGGGACCTGCCTCGGCCCCACGGCCCAGCAGCCTTGGGCTGACCCTGCCACCGTCGTAGCACCTGCTCCGCTGGCCGTGCTCAGGCCTGGCTTTACCACTCTCACTGCTGAGAGACACCTCTGGGTCAGAGAACGGTATTTATTTGGAATGAGTAGTGTTGGTGGTGCTACTGCATAATTGCTAATCCATGGAGTTAGGTATTACGGTACAAACAAGGCTGTCTTATTCCAGGTACTCACTACAAAAGCAAAGGAAAATGAGGGCTCATTAGAGCCCTTTTTTTTTTTCACATTTAAAAAGATAAATTGAGGTAAACCAGACTGCTCACCTCCTCTAGAAATTGATTCTTGCAAGATACTTTTGCTGAGGGATGAGTCCAGAAGAACATACTCTCAGGCAATCCCCGGGCACCCAAGCAGGCAGCCATGCTGTCCCACAAGCGGGCTCTGCGGCAATTCCTGTCTGCCTCAGCGCTCAGAGGTGCAGGTGATGCGACGCAGAGCCAAAGCTGCCCTTCAGACTTCCAGAGCTGCATCTCCGCTTTGTTATCGCTCCGTGTTACGCAGGTGTGGGAGAAACCCTTAGGTCTGGCTGGAAATGGAGTCCTGGAAGCATCTGTCCTAGCCCTGCTCTGGATCAAACCAGCTGAACCACATTCAGCACGTGTTCTGTTTTCACTGGTGCCACTGGGAAATGAGGATTGATTTTCACTCTTCACTGGGTGCTTCTCTGCCCAATGACTGCATCAAACTTGGCATCGGTCAGCTTTTTCAGGACAGCCAAGGCACGTTCTGGAAGCAACCTGAAAGAGATCATAATGTGAGATGAAACGTGGGGTAAGAAACTGAAGTCATGGGAAGAAGTGGCACTGCAGGTGAGGGAAGAGCTGGTCTGGGAGCGGAAGCGTGCACACGCAGACTGAGACCAAGGCTTAAACTGGGTGTTACTGCCAAAGAATAAGTGCCCCTCATCAATCTCTGTATAGTTTACCTCCTATCCCACCCGTGCCCATGACAGTTCTAAGGCTGGGTATCTACTGGTCAGTGTTTGGGTTGCAATATTGCTACAGGACCCAAGAAGTCTCAATACTGAACAGAGATTGGTGTGTGTTGAGTGCTCTATGCTTCAAAAGCAGCAGGGGCCTATGGAAGGATGAGATGTTACAACTGAGGTGCAGTTTCCTCTCTGAGGATTTCTTCTATGCATCATGTCTCTTTGTGTCCCCCTGCCCCACATCAAGATAAACAAAGCAAAGTTATCCTAAGGACTTTGACAGCATGAGGTTTAACTTGTCTATGCTTCTGCACACCTGCGCTGTCAGCAGGCAGCTTTTGGAGATGCAAAAAGACTCCAAAGCCTTTTCTTGGAGTCTGGTGTCGGGCTTTGCAAAAGAGACCATACCAAGTGTTTCATGAAAGACTGTAGAAGTTAACTGAAAAGTTATCTTATTTGTTTTGATGTTAAAGCCAGATTTGGAACCTGAGCTCCGGTAAAAACACCTCCTCAGCAGAGCAGCTACCCTGGAGATACTAAAGATGTGCGAGAGGACAAATCTTGCTTTACGTGGCAGAGAGAAGCAGTAGAGCCCTTTTGAAACAATCTTCCCATTCTCTGTGACCTCAGTCTTTGGTGTTGACATGAAGAAACAAATACTAATGAGCAGCAGGTCCTCAGCTCCTTCTGGAACTACGCTGGGGCTGCTGGTTCAGAGAAATTGTGGTTCACAAGCCCAAGGCAAATGGCAATCTGTGAAGAAAACGTGTTTTCTTGTCCTCCCTCTCCCTCCCTGTAGAGCAGCTGAGCTCTCTGCTGAGAATAGTTAGCTGCAGAAAGTGGATCACAAGGACGTATGAGAGAGCTCAGAAAAATCTTTGTGTATGATGCCTGCTGTTGGCATTAGAAAGAACCACTGCTATTTCATTACCTTAGTATGTGTTCTTCTCCTACTAAAATATTTCAAATGGGTGGTTGCTTAAAAAAATAATATTCTATCCTGCAGACAGTTACATGTTACCGAGTTACTCTAGGCAGACTGAAGTCACATCTGGACTGATAAATAAGTGAATATAGTGATGTCAAACACCGAAGATAATACAAAATAAATGAAACTGGGTTAAATGTGAACTTCTGCTGTCCAGCTTCTCTACACTGCCAAACCATATCTTTTACTACCATGAGTGCAAAAATGCAGTTCCTCATAAAATGTAACATTTGATTCATGATTGATGTTTGTATACCCAGCCAGTTGGCACTGATGTGTTTTTCCCTCCCCCTTCCCTTTGTTTTTTCTTTTGCTACTTACATTTCAGAAAGTAAAGCAATGCTTAGATGTGATGGAACAAAAACCATTTTCTTGTTGGTCAGTATTCCTTCCATCAGGGCCTCTACAACTTCTTCAATCTCCAAAATCTTTCCTAGCCTACATAGGAAAGCATACATGTAAGAGCTACAGTGGTGAAACAGGGGTGCTACTACCTGATGTAGGATGCTTCACGCAGGCACAACATCAGGTAATTCAGATGCAACCATGATGTGTGTTAAATGACACTGCAGATTAGCCAGTAGCATATACTGGTTTTCTATAGTCAGCTGGAATACAAGGCTTAAAGCTGGGGCTAATACGCAGTGTCTTGATGCAAAGAAGGAAAGGCAGAGTTTTGATAGTTACCTTGTACTGGGGTTTTTGACAAATCCAGTGTTTATAAAAACCGGAGAAAGACACGTAGTTTTTATTCCATCCTTTCCCAGGGTAGCCAGCTCCTCTGTCAGAGCTTTATGAAAACCCACCGCAGCAAACTTGCTTGAACTGCAGGAAGAGAAAAAGCCAAGTGAGAAGATTATTAGAAGCAATGCAGCCCGAATCTCTACAATGAAGAGTGATGGTCAGGGTAGATAGGGAGAACAATTCTGTACTGTTGCTCATACCACATAGGAGCACCTTGTGGCATTTGTGTGTGTTTTGAAAGAGGATCATTATGCCTGCACATGTTGGGGAATGTACTGCCACAGAAATTGGCCCAGGCCAGGAGTATAAATTAACTCCAAAGAAAGTAGAACCAGAGAACCTGTTTATTGACTGCTATTAATTTGGACACTGCAGTTCCAGTCAAATGCACTAGAGACAGTGCCACAATGGTAGAACTATCAAAAGCTACTCATTAGGGGTTGACTTGACACACTACAACAACTCACTGAAGCGCTACTTTCTAAGAAGGAAAAGGGAAGAGGATACCTTTTTTTTTGCTAAGCGAAAGCCTGGATTGGTGAGGGAGGGGAAAAAAAGGAGAAGCTTTCATTAGTTGATGTGTCCCATGACTACTCCTTCATACAAGCATTGCTCCTGATTCAGTCAGAGCTGATAAGCAAACCGGGGGGAACGGCCAGGCATCCCTAAGTGCTGGCTCTTGTGCTTTCCTCCTCCTTAGCACAGCCCTTTCCACATCCCTTACTCAGTGGGAGGAATCACTTGGTTACTCTGAGATTGTCGATGGACAACATGCAATTAAAATAAAAAACCAAAGAGAGCTGATTGTAAAATGACTTACCAATAAGCCACCATGAAAGAAGTCACCAAATGACCTGCTGCTGAAGCCACCGTGACAATGTGACCGTAGTTGTTGCTCATCATGGCTGGCAGAAAAGCTCTTGTAGTCTTGAAAGTCATTTAAGCCAAGAGGCAGAAGTGGAATGGGAGAGGGAAAGGGGGAGAACAATGTTTTTTTAGGCATATTCACCACTGACCCCGACTATCACTAATTAAGCAACTAACTCTCCTAGTTGCAGGGTCTCAGTGCTCAGCTGCAGGTGCCCAAAACACTCGATGCCAAGTCGAAACCTAATACGCCTCTGACAGAGACCAAACTGTGCTGAAGATGAGGCCGTGGCCCCGCTAGCTCACCCAGAGAAAGAGGAAATGAAGAAACTGGGCCAGGCTCAGATCGGCAAGAGGATCCTCAAGTTTCCCAACTGTCAGTTTAGCTGGGTGTCCCTGTGCTATAAACAGCCAAAAGATGCTTTTGTTCTTCACTGGTAGCTGACAATAATTGCTAGTCTAAAGATAACTGCTAGTCTAAATATGCTGCCTCAGCAACACTCCCGAAAAAAACACAGGTATGAAGGTGGTAGTGGCCCTTACCCAGAGGTGAGCAAGACTGTTGACTTCAAACATTCTTTGAATCTGGTGGTCCTGAGTTGAGAGCAGGTCAGCAGCTGTAATCACACCTGCGTTATTCACCAGGATGGAGACATCCCCAATTTCCTTTCTCACCTTTTGGACACAAAAACCCCAGAAAAGTACGTGTCACTCGTTATCAGAAAAATGCAAGGCTGTGGAAGACGAGGGGTAATTAATTTAATGCTTAACGCTGTTTCTTTTAGGGAGAGGAAGATGGTGCCGCGTTTCCACGTGAGGTGGGAACTCTGCAGTAGTACCATGAAACCCATTTTAGATCTGATGCTTCTCCCTTTATTACTGCCAGGAGTTACAGTCTTCCACACAGCACCCGCACACACGGTACCCGCTGTGTAGTCACAGTCAGGACTAAGGACGTACAGACCGTTTTGAGCCAGCCAGACCACATCCTTTACAACAAAAAGTTTCCAGTGTCCCCAGTGTTATCTGCGTGCTGTTCAGGAAAGTGAAGGAGAGAAGTTCCATCAGGGGCTGGAAGTCTAAAGAACAAACGTGTCAGCAAGGCGTGATACGCCCCAGCCTCACAAAGGAGGGTGAGGCTGGCTGCGATCTCGGAATTGCTGCCTCCCTCTCTGTACAGAAAGTGGCAAGAAGCGGGGAGACTCCTGGGGCTTGCACGATTCGCATACCACACCTCTCCTCTTGTTTTCCTGGCTTTTCCGAAAATCGAGCCCGTTTGGGTAAACTCTTCGGGCGTGCCTCTGCTCCCCTACCTTCTCCGCAGCACTGTAGATTTCCTCCCTTTTGCTGCAGTCCACCACGAAGGCTTGAACAGTGGCTCCCAGCCTTTCACATTCTGCTGCCGTGTCCTCCACGCCGTGCTGTAAGAGGCAGAAAAGAGACACACGCACGCGTGGCTGTACCCTGCCCGCCTGTTGCCGCTCGCGCTCCACGGCAGAACAGCCAGAGGCTGACGATGTCTCTCAAGTGAGTGAGCAGCTCACGACTCCCCAGGGAAGGAGCTGTAGCTGGGGTCTGTGGGAGGACTGGTGTTCCAACCTTCCATTTTGGGCCTGCATAGAGCAACAGGAGTGATTTGCCTTGGCAAAGCCCACGCAGCTGGGCTGCAGGAAGGGGCCCGCGGTGACTCCCACAGCCTCCCTTGGCAAGGTGCTGCAGCGCCTGCTTCTCTCCTCCCTCTCAATGTATTGCCCAGCAGCAAAGCTCACTTGCTCGCCAATACAGTTTTTCCTTCTTCCTCCATTCCAGTGGACACGAACAACGCTCGCCTTGGCCGCGGCCCTTTACACACTGGGAGACCAGTGCCCTGTGCCACTCTTCCTGCCCCCCGCCCCGAGTCACGCCTTCTTTGAAGAAGGTGGCACTTGAGCACACAAAGCACACACAAAGACTGATCTCAGCCATAATGGGTTGCATGAATGGACACAAAAATGTTACGCTATACCTTCCCTGTCGATACATGCCCCTATGCTAGGCTTCTATTGTGCGGGTTTTGGTATTTTTGTTGGTGGGTGGATGTTTTTTGCAGCTTCAGGATGCCATGAGGAACTCCTCTGCAGTTTCCGTGTCAGAAACCTTTCCTGCGCACGGCTGCCCGGCCGCTCACCCCCTGTCCAGCCCGTCGCTCCTACGCACCTTGCCTCCACCCCTACTGAATGACCTCCTGTGTGTTTGCATCCTCCCCTTGCCAAGCTCTGTTTGCACGCCAGTCAACCTGGCCGACACAAAGAGCTTGATCTCGTGCCAACCCTTAGCAAGGCACCGTCCCTGTGCCAGGGGACAGGGGGGCTCACACACAGCTCAGCGCCGTGCTGCTCGGCCCTGGGAGTCGGTTTCACGACAAACCCCGAGCCCTGGGAGGCACCAGGAGCCCAGCCGTGACCCGCGCCGTTACCTTGTTGATGTCCCACAGAACCAGCCTGCTCTGGCGCTTGGCGAACTCCAAGGCCGTCGCTCTCCCCACACCGTGGCCAGCACCGGTGATGAGCACGAGCTCCCCGCTGACGGACTTTCTCCTCGCAGGGACGAAGAGCTTCACAAAAGCCTCTAAGTAGGCGTAGACGAGCGTGGCCAGGAACAGGAGGAGGTCCAGGAACGGATTCATCGCTCCTCCGAACGCCGCCGGCCGCCTGCCCAAGCTGGGGCCCGCTTCGACTGAGGGCTGCCGCGCGCGGGGCCGGGGTGGGGCCGTGGGCGGGGCCGTATGCGCTGATTGGCGGCTTAGCGCCGCGGCCCCAGAGCCTGGCCCTGCCCGCGGTCTGGCGCTCTCCTCCTCCGCCGCCAGGGGGTGCCTGCCGCCCGCCTCAGCACGCACGACTCGACCTGTCAGTCACCGGCTTCCGCCGCGGACTCTCCCCGCGCCTCTTGGCCCGCCCCGGACGGGCCCAGGCTTCTTTCGCCGCCCGGTGCTGCGTGAAACGCAGCGACCACGATTACCGAAATCAGGACGCCGCCCGGGCGGGTGGAGCCGCCGCCACTAACCTCCGACTGGCCAAGGACATATCAGCCAATCAGCTAGCGGCGTTTGACGAGGGGGCGTGTCCCTCGGGCTTACGGAGGCTCGCGATTGGCGGCGCTCCGCCCAATGAGAAGCGAGCTTGTAGAGAAAAGGGGGACGGGCGGCGCGGAAGTCCCGTCCCGGGGGGGCAGCGGGCGATAGCGGGCGATAGCAGGCGATAGCAGGCGATAGCGGGCTCGGAGCGGTGCGCCACGGAGCGGTGCTGCGGTAGTTAGCGGCGTCGATGCCAGGTCGTGCGGCGGGGCGCGGTGTCGCGCGGGCGGTCGCCGTGTTTTCGCTCAGCCTCGCTCTCTCCCCGCTGCCCGCCCGCGGTGCCGCCCGGCGCCGCCCGCCCCTCAGGTACCGTGGCCTGACGGCGAAGCCGGGCGCTGCCCGGATTCGGTGGCTCTGACGGCATTTGCTCCCACCCCCCCGGGGGTGGTGCCCCGTGCCCGGGGGAGCCACCGATGGGCCGAAATTCTGGGGCCCTTCCCCCCTGGTGTGGGCGGCCGAGGGTGTCCCTTTTGGGCGCGGCGGGAACAAAAATCGGGCTGTCCTTCAAAACTAAAACGATGCCGGTACTCAAGAATACAAAAGGGACGGAACAGTGGCCTGCGTGTGGAGGTTGGCACCCTCTCTGGGGTGCCCCTTTCTCTGCAAAAGACTTTAGGAACCTCAAGTGGTTTGGGAGTTGGATTGTTCTCTTGGGAACATCCCCCCAGAAGGCTGAAAAAGCCTGGCCTGTTCTGCTAGTTATAATTTAATATTCACATCTGCGGATCAAATAGTAGGATTAATACTTAATGCATGAGCCACTTTTTCCTTTTTTTATCTGAAAGTCATTGGTCCCATTGTCACCTTGCTCAGATGTTGTTAAAACCTTTATGCATTTTTCCAGAGGAAATATATTTCCTTATATTCTGGTAGTGATTATTGAATTAAAAAAAAAAAAAAAGTGTCACTAAGAACTTAAATATCTTGGGTTTGGAGTAGTCTTGTAGGTTATAGCCCCTTGCTGAGCTTTGAGGCTCATATCTAGAGTAATCATCTTTATTTTTGTAATGGTTAAAAAAAAAAAAGAGTGAGTATGGGAAGGCCGCTTTGTGTGTTGAAGAGTATTTAAGAACCGTGATCAGGCACTGTAACCCAATCTGCTGATAAGTATTTTGCTACTGACTGGTCTTTCAGCTCTGGAAAACCCATGGCAAAATAAAATCACTAGACATCTCAGGTATTTTTTTCTTTTAACCAAACTAGTTTGATAGTTCTAGCTTTTCTTTGAAATTGAAAAGCAAGGTATGTGTTATCCTAGTCAGTATTGCACAATGTATGTTGGTGCTTTTAGCGACTCGTGGAGCTGTGCTACTCAGGTTTTTGGATATTTCATTCTTGCTCTTACCTGGGCTACCACCTGATGTGAGAGCAGGACTCTTGTAAGGCTGGGTTGGTTTGTGGGTGAAATGCCCCTATGGAGATTTAATGCTCAAGCAGGCCTTCCTGCTGCATTTATGGTAAATGTGGTGCTCCTTGTATATGATTAATAACTGGGCAGTCTCCACCCAGTCTGGAATGGCGGTTCCAGTTTTCAGCTTCTCACTCATGCTATGAAATCTTCATGTGTGTCTAGTAGAGTATTCTTCTGCTTCAAGAAGCCAAAGGTAGAATACAAAATTTGTTGGTCCAAGCATACATTTGCGTGATATTTGAAAGAAGCAGTAATATAATACTGAAAGCTGTTTTTTGGAAAAAGCTTTGTCTGTTCTGCTTGCTATAAGGTACTGTGCAGACTTGGGATTAATTAACAGGGTTAAACTCTAATAATTGACATGCTTTTTTATTTTTTTTTTTTGTTCTAGTAACTCATCATCAAATTTTTGGTCCTGTCTTCATCCTGTTAACATGTGCAACAGTTACAATGTTAAGTTCTACCACAGCAAAGCTCTCACCTCCCCCTACCCAGGATCACGCATTGAGCGTAGCCAAGTTCCTGAAGATAAAGTGGGCTGGTTGACTGAGTGGAAGGATTATAATCCTGTGGAGTACACTGCGATGTCTGTTTTGGCTGGACCCAATTGGGCAGATCCCCAAATCAAGTGAGTGGAAACTGTGGCTCTTTATTCCTGTGAACACGGAAGCAGGAAATAGTCATCAGCTGAGTTAATAAGATCACCACATGACATGTCATTCTACAGTGATGTGTGAAAGTCAAGACCTAGAAAACTGGTGGTTAGAGAACTCAGTGGTTTGGGTTAGCTGTGAGGGTCTTTGACACACGATTTTACTGAGCTGGTGATTGGGATAAGAATAGTGTTAACTGGAGTAATGAACAGCTGTTTGCTGTGTAATTCTGCTTCTCTGTGTTGTGAGAAGTAAAAATCTTCTAATTTTCCTTCAGAATTTGGGAGAACATTTTCATAATATACTTGTTGGTTCATGGATTGAACGAAAGATGAGAAAATAATTGAAGTAGAATTGTGGTTCTTGAGTTGAGCGCTCTGACTCAGGAAATGTGACAGGTTGAATGCATGACTAATTCTTTTTTTTGTGAATGTGTATATTAATTTTTATTGATTCTGTGAATGTTTTCCTTTCAAGGAAACTTACATGCTTCTTAGCTTGAAGTTAGATGCATGCATCTAATGTAACTTGTGATAATGTGAAATGGTGGTTCCTGTGTATGCACATTTGTGTAGAAAGATCAGAAGATAATGGCACTTGAGGTTTCAGCCTTACCTTCCTTGTTTCCCATTGCTGTGTGAACACGTGCTTCTATTTGCTCTTAATTTGGTCAGTATTTTGCTGATTGCAAGGCACAGTACTCCTCAGACTCTGTAGGACCGCTGATGTTCTGTCAAGGCATAGTTGGGAAAATAGTTGAAAATGCAGAGTAATTTTTCAGGTGTTAGTGTAACTTCCCAAATGAATTATGTGTGGAAGAAGCTAGTCAGTCGTTTGAAACCTGCGATGGTTTGAGGAGAATTGCTTTTGGGATAGGAAATAAGCTTATATAGACAGCTGCTTCTTTGCCAGTTTTCAGAGGTGCACATAGGAGACTGGCATTAAGCTAATTTTGAAATCCAGTGATTGTTAGCTTGTAACTCTGATAAATCATATGTAATAAAAATTTCTGCTCAATTATTTTAATTAGCAAAATATTTTTTAGTTTTAACAATGCGTAATGTCCTCTTATGTTCTGTAATCTTAACAAGAATACCTTTGAAACACTTTGTATCTCTCTAGATTTTCATTTAGACAATGTTAAATACTTCAGAGGAGCACACTTCTGTCTGCAGAACTAAATACAGGGAAACTGTGGTCAGTAAAGGTTGAGACTTTATAGCCTCTTACAGAAAAGGGAGGGCCTGCAACATAAGTTCTGTTAAAAGCTGCTGGTTGGTCGAATGTGGATTGCTGATCTGGTGCTTGGCCTTCAAACTTCTGTTGGGCAGAGGGATGTATTGCATTTTATAACTCATCTCTATTAATTTATTCTTTTCCACACAGTGATAAAGGTTTTTCTCCCAAATTCAATGAGAGAGATGGAGAAGTAGAAAGGACGAGTCTGCATGGCTTGTATGTGGTTGAAAATGGGAGGCCCCGGTAAGTGTTTTCTTTCTTTGCATATTAGCTTCAATGATGTAGTTTCAGAGTCTTGCAGGTCTGTCAGTTTTTATACATGGTACCTGCTAGAACAAAATCAAGACAGTCTCCCCTAGAGACAGGAAAAATGATACCTCAGTGCCAGAGTTCTTTTTGCAAGAAGGCTGCAGCAAAAAGGCACTAAAAGGTTAGCCAGTACTACCACAACAGAGGATCATGGAGACCCTGGAGTTGGAGGAGGTCTAACACTGTTAATATTAGGGTCTGAATTAATTGTTTCCATAGTTTGACCAAGTGTGCTGGGCTCTGAAGCTTTTGTACCACTTCTGTGCTATGGTAGAGTAGAACAGTATTTCCTTCCACTGACAAATTCTGGCATAGCACAGATGGGTAATCTCACTTTAAAATCATTTATTTTGTTTCTGCAATTTGTACATAATTGAATGCTCTGTGCACCTTTAGTCTTGGAAACCAGGTTCTATTTTCAGTCAAGGTTGTGTGCACAATGAGAGTAACACTCAGGAGTATCTCAGGACACAAGATCTGGGAAATGACAAAGCCATTTTGTGTATTTCTTTTCCCTGTACTGTCAAACACAAAAAGAGATTGATGATGGAGAAAACCATGGTTTGTCTCCCTTGCTTTTTAAAGCATATGGTGGCCACAAATGTATGTCACTATCCTTTCCTTTGTTGTTATTTAAACTTATTTAAATCTACTTTTTTAGGATACTTGGAGCATATTTTAAGTGTGGTGAAGTAAATATGTTTAACGTACTGTGCCATGTATTTCAGAAATCCAGCAGGAAGGACTGGCCTCACAGGCAGAGGATTGTTAGGGCGTTGGGGACCAAACCATGCTGCTGATCCTGTTGTAACTAGGTAAGGGACAGGTGACTGAAAGGTGCCCTGCAGTAGAGAAAAAGACCCATGCGTGTTACTTTTTCTGTGCACCTCTGGATGTGGGTATCTGAATGGAGAGATATATAGACATGTGGAACATGAATTTCTAATTTTTTGGTCTTTGTCTCTGGAAAAGAGTAAGGACTCATTCCTAATGACAAGCAGTCACTTATGAAATGGTGAGGAAGCAGATTTAAAAAAAAAAAAAAAATAAACAGCCCAGGAAGCTTAATTCGATAGAAATATTTACACAAATAATCTTCTGTAATGAATGTAAAAGCTGAAAGGATTGTGATACTTCAAAACTATATATGTAATGTGCCAAAAGGCCTTAGATGAGGCATGTTAAATTGCAGGAAGATTTTTCCATCATAATGACTCAATTGCAAAAAAAAAAAAAGGCAGTATGCCTGCTTCTCCGTAAGAAATATGAATTTGGCTTTGTATATTATAGGAGGAGGTGGAGTTAGACTCTTCTTTTGTGTTCTGTGTTAATGGTGCTTTCGCCAGCAGATCTGTGTGTACATGCTAACTATTTTACACAAAGAAAGCATTCGGAAAAGATTGCTTAGTTAACAAAGGTGCAGACTAGGAAGTGCCACGCTGAAGATAGAACCACGGTGAAAAATCATCCTTGCGCGTCTTCTTGCCCTTGCCAGAAGGCTGTGAATGCTACTGAGCTGCTTCCTTGAAAGTAAAAGAAATGCTGTTTTCATTTTGTCTTTGTTTAGATAGCTTTTTGCTTTTAACTGTTGGTGGTAGTTCTTAATTCTTTGCTGAAAGCAACGATGGGCGCTTGCGGCCTCGTGCCGGTGCTGGGTGAGCGGTTCGGGGGTGTGGCAGCCTGCGTGTGCGCTGGGTTCTGGCAGGAGCCGTCCCTGCCCCGCATTCCGGGCAGGCACGGGGGCAGCGCCGGGAGCCTGGCGGGGGGTGCTGGGCGCAGCAGCACTCGGGGGAGCCGCTGCTGGCAGCGCGGCTGCAGGAGCGCAGCGCCGGGGCGGCCTCTGCCCTTCGGCCTGGTGGCGGTGCCTGAAAGCCTCAGGGGTTTGCCCTCGGGACAGCACCCATCGGTGCCCCCGTGGCTGTTCTGGCTCCGTTTTGTTTGCCCCCATGCCGGCGGCAGCGCCGGCACCTTGCTGTGCCTCTCCCGGGCCCTTGTGCCAAGCAGGGGCAAAGCCTGTTCTTGTTTGTCGTTTGCCGCAGGTGGAAGCGGGATGCGAGCGGCCGTAAAATTGCTCATCCAGTTACTGGCAAAAACATCTTACAGTTCGTAGCAATCAAGAGGAGAGACTGTGGGGAGTGGGCCATTCCAGGGGTAAGAGCAAAGTCCCAGAGACAGTAGACATTTCCCTGCTGGTAAGGTCACGAGGTGATGACTGGCGTGCACGTGATAAAAGCATGCTTTTTGATGAACGACCTCATGTTGCAGAGGTGAGGAGAAATTCTCCTTAAACTAGCTTTGCCCAAGCATCAGCTGATATGCTTTCTGCTGTTTGCAAGGCAGTATTCATATTTAATTCTGACCATGTCTTTTTCTTAATGCTGGCACAATTTAATCCATTGCAGGTTTCAAAGGATGTATGTGCTCACTCTTTACAACTAAGTGTAAAGTTCCTCCCATGTCCAGCGTATGATGCAGATAGATGTAATATGCTAAGAGCCAGTCAAAGGGAGTAAAACAAGTGGAATCTGAGGGATAGTCAGCTTTTTTTTTTTTCTTTTCCCCCCTCTAAGGGGATGGTGGACCCAGGGGAGAAGATTAGCGCTACCCTGAAGAGAGAATTTGAGGAGGAGGCCTTGAACTCCTTGCAGAAATCACCTGAGGAGAAAGCACAATTGGAGAAGCAACTCCACAAGCTGTTCAGCCAGGAACACTTTGTGGTGAGCTCTGTCTCTTATTGTAGCCTCTTGAGCTATGCATGTAACTCACAGCTGTGTGGAACCTGGAAGAGTGTAGCTGAAATAAAAATAAGCTGAGATGCTTGGGTTGTCGTGATGTAGGAAATGGAAGGGACTATTGAAACGTCTGTAAGGGCAAATGTATCGGAAGGAAAGCAATTTTATTGATTCCACCTTATTTGTTGTGACACTGACCTTGTTTCGGTTTGTTTGGGGCCTTAGGTGTACAGAGGATATGTGGATGACCCTCGTAACACTGATAATGCCTGGATGGAGACAGAGGCTGTGAACTATCATGATGAAACTGGTGGGTGTCTCCACATGTGCTCTTAATTGCCTTTTACTCTGTATGTTGGTTTGAAATTGGGATGTATATTGGGCTGAGATTGGCAATGAAATTGGGGGAGTGTGCAAGTTAGGTGTAAAATATTGGACTAAAACCAATAGGCGTGAAGGTCTCTTGTCTCCTAAGATGTTCAGCCATGACAGTTGTCATTCCCCTTTGGTTTCTGTCAGTCTCGAAATAAGGAACTTTGCATAAAAATTATTTATTTGTTAGCTAGTTTTAAGCTATGGACCATGTGCCTTTGTATGGAGATTGAACTTTGGACAAGGATTCTTTCTTGTCACTGTATTCATCTTGAGTTGGTTCAGTTTCTCTTTTTAATGAGTCTGGGGTGGAAGGATAGTCTATTTCTTTTGTTATTTTTCCTTTAGGAGCTAGTGTGTGCTTCAGGAATATTGCCTTCAGCTGCTGACAGATTTTCACTGTGTTTATTACTTTGGTGCTGTAATTGCTCTGAGACCTTTTGACTTGGTTACTCTGCCAGAGTAATTGTTGGACCTTATTTTACTTCTGTGAATCAGTAAGAATGGGTATACATTGTTAGTTCTTAGATTGATCTTGGATTCTCATCTCTCCCCTTTTGAGATAAACCAATCTAGTTATGTGTCTGACTTGTTCAAGTCAGATTTTGTATAGTGACATTGCCACTGTGTTTTGCATAGTAGATACCAGTGGTGAAGTTTCACATGTCACTGGCCATTGATTTATCATTCCCCAGAAACAGTGAAGGCACTGATGTTTCTAATACATGTTTTACAGTATTTCTAAAAGCATTTATTTGGTGGTTGTCTGTGAAGTCCTAGGATTCTTTTTAGAAATGAAGTAAGAAACTTCAGAGAGCAATTCAGAAGTGTTTCTGCATCCCTCCTTAAGTACTATTTTTGATTTTGGGGGACTTTAGTAACATTTTAATGATTCTGTTTTCCTATAAGCCTACGTAAGCTTCAGAATTCAGTTTGTCATGTAGAATAGTACCTGGGAAAGGAAGCAGTCAAGTGCTAGCTAAACAAACAAAAATCAAAGCAGAGGGATTAGCTAAACTTGTGGGAGTGAGTACATGTCATAATGATTTCTAGTAACTTGTCATGCTGCTGGATGGTGCTTTAGGAGTGGTGATAAGGAGTTAACATGACCTCTGCTGCTCAGATTTGCCTTAATGCAAGTATGAAAAAGGTTTCTGGCACAGAATCAGTGAGCAGTTAGTTTCTGAGAAGTTTGAGGTTGCTGCCTGTGAAGGAGCCATGTGGAAGGGTGGAATTGATCAGATGTGAGAAGAAAAAGCAGGAAAGAACATGCAATATCATGTCCTAACTCTTGTTTTCTGAACAGGTGAGACAATGGATAATTTGCCTCTAGAAGCAGGTGATGATGCTGGAGTAGTAAAGTGGGTTGACATCAATGAGAAGCTCAAGCTGTATGCAAGTCATAGCTACTTCATTAAGCTTGTGACCGAAAAACTGGGAGCCCACTGGAGTGAGGATGCTGGTCCTGAGTGCTGAGAGTGATGTAAACGAGGAACCGATGGACACCAAGGGGAGAATATGTTTTCCAGATTTGGAACAGATGACATTGTCCGTTTCAGTGGAAATTCAGTGAAAATTCTGTGCAATTCAGCTGGCAAAAACGCTTGGCAGTAATAAATAGAGGACTTTTCAGAGGCTCCAGATTGCTGCTTTTGATTTCGCAGGCTGTGTGAAATGAGATGGATGTGTGGAGCTGTTACCTTGTTTTGCTTTCTTGTCTTCACTATTTGCAGTTCTATCTACAGATTTGCACGATGACACTGGAATTCTAGCTGGCTGTAGTTCAGAGGCTGTTCACTTCAGCTCTGTAGTTTTTGCACTGATTTCTTCTCAGGAGCATGAATTCTTAAGGGATGAGAGACTTGTAGGATGATAACCTGAATAATGACTTAAGTGCTACATAATAGAGAAGTTTATTTTCTGAGTCATTTCACTTAACGTCTTTTCAGTGATTTTTTTTTTTTTGAGAGATTAGTTTTTGCATTTAATTGCTTTCTAGTTTACAGTGTGGATGGTATTCACATCCGAATGCCTGACAGTGCCTCTATAAAGATAACTTGGAGGATGTAACTTGACTGATTTTGGGAGCTGGAGTTCGAGGTTCCCCTCTCTCCACTGCTTATGGCAGTACAGCTGTTGGGGAGACTGTGCCATAAACAGGATCATTGGAAAGAGGAGCCTTAATGTATAATCTTGTAAATTGTGATTGCTTTTTTACAGTTTAGGTAATGTGAATAACTTGCAGTCACTCACTGTGGTGAGTGATGTGGGCCTTCTGTGGCATTTTTGCTGATAACAAAAGCTGCACAGCAGTTGCTGACACTTCTCCATGTGTTTTTATTCAAGTGGTAATTGGTGTAAATTGTGTAATAACATCAGGAATTGGTGACAGTAACAGCTGAAAGTTGCAGTTGAGAGAGACCTGGGGAGGGGATCTTAATGAATTTTGAGTCATGTGTTGGAGTATGGTAGTGCTAAATGTCATGGTCTGGAATTACCTTGTGTAGCAGTACTGTGACATGCTCATGCTTTGTTGTGACTGTTGGCCACATCCTGCTTAACTAATGAATGATTCTAGAGCATGTTCATTTTCAGTGCCATCCCTTCCTCCCAATTAGCTAATGAAATCAGGAAGAGTTGTGTGTTTATACAGGGAACCCTGGGAATCTTGTGGAGTTATTAGTATGTTCCTTTCAAAGGAAAAAGTAATGCTAAGAGTTATTAATTTTTATTTCAATCTTCGTTCACCTCTTCCTGCAATTTTGATTTCTTTGGTGGTCTTACTAAAACAGCATAACTGCTTTCTGTTGCAGTAGAAGCTTCCATAGACTTGGTTTATGCAAAAATCTTCCTCCAAATCATAAGTAAGATCTAGTGGTTGCTTAGGCAGAAATTATTTTGATTAATCAGTCCATCTTCAGCATAGTATGGAGACTGGGTAATATCTGATAGGGACAGGTGAAGACCTGAGAGAACCTGTGAAACTCAGAATGGACAAAAGGCATAGCCCAGCTTCAGGAGTTCCCTTCCCTTTCTACTCCTGGTCTTTGGAAACAGGATCACAGAATTAAGAGATGAAGACAACTAAGAAATTTGATGCTCAGCTTTTTTTCAAGCTTAACCAGTAATCAGACAAGGTTGGAGGGGACTGTGCACTTTAAACCACACTGGATTCAGAGGTGGGCATGTGAAACAGGACTTAGTTGCTATTTACTCTGTTTCCAGTGCACTGGTGAGAAAGGTGGGAAGGAGCTGTAGGAAGTTGAAAATTATCTAGAAGCGACAGTGTTCTGTAGGAGGCATCTGTAGTTTTCAAGGGGTCTGCAGAGGTAAGAGAATGGCAGGTTAGAATTAATAGCAGTTAATTACTTTAAAGTTCAATTAACATATTATATAGAGCAGGCCCCTAGCAGTACAGTTGGGTTTTGAAAGTGTGACCACAAGAGCAGACCCTTCTTAAGTTTGTGGGAGGTGAAATGTGCAGCTGCTCACAGCTGAGAACATGGGTGATTATACTGTGGCATGTCAAAATACCATGTTTTTTTTCTTGAATGTTACTGTTTACATATGAAGTGCTTAACACAATGTACAATACTAAAGGTGAAAATGGGAGAAAATTTCAGTTCTGAAAGTACCATACTCAATGAGACAAAATGCACTGTTTCCATAGCCAGTGCATTATTCCTGGAAAGCAAAATTTCCATAAAGAATCTTTTCAGTCTTCACTGATCTTGTGTTAAAGCCTTTTTTGGATAGGCTTAGTGGACTTGGCTATGTGCTTGTGGATTGTCAGGTTTCTGGGCAAGATTTTTGGTTAGACAATTTTCTGTTGGAGTGTGTTGATTTTATATGGTATGCAGTACAGAATGCAATTATTTCATGCATATCCCAGTACCTTACTCAGGTCTTGTGTACTTGTGTCCTGAAATTTATTGTATAATTACAATATTGAAAGTTTATAAGTAAATGTAGTGGCAAATCTTTTGGAAAATGGTCAACTTCTTTATATGGGTGATGCTAGCCTGTATGTTAACGCAAGTTAAATGTGTTGGAAAGTGTTATTTTTCAGCCCTACATGTGGCTCTAACTTATCCTACGCTACTTTTTAAAAATATCTAAGAGATTATTCCCAAAGATTTGCATACCCAGATAAATACCTAATATCTGAAAAACAGCAGCAGAATTTTGAGGAAGTTTGTAATCTCTCTTCAAGCTGAAGAAATAGAGTTGGGTTTGTATTTAAAAAAAAACAGTTACCCCATAGAATGCATGCCTGCTAATTAGCAAGCAAAGTGGGTTATTCTCCTTGAGCTTCAAAGATAAACTGCAATTACTCCCAGCTCTCTCCTGTGGTAGTTTGTCATTCAGACACTGTGCTCTGTGTCCCCGATGGAGCACTCCTTGGCCAGCTAGAGCTTCCTGCAGTCTTACTTCACCTCGTGCTACTGGACAGTTCAATTACCTCAGACTTGAGCTTGCTGAGCCTGCAGAGCAGCCCTGTGGCCTGGGCCTCTAAAGAAGTGACCACCAGCTTTCATGAACCTATTCAGTTGCTGCGAAAAGACAGTCATCTTGTGTCAGTGTATTCCTGTTCAGTACCAAAATCCCCAGTTAAATACAAATGTTATAACTAATGAGATTCCATTAATTTACAAAAAAAATATTTGCATCTTCCATGCTGTCTGAACCGGAACTTTCACTACTGCTATCCTGTAGAAGAATGATTTTTTTTTTTTCTTTTACAGTAAGGTATAATTCCTTCTGCTTGTATTTCTTTAAAAAAAATATATATATATATCAAGCAATTCATTTTGGTTTTGATATTTTTTTATTTTTCTGTTAGAAAGCAAAGATAGTTCTGCAAAGGGAACTTAATCTTCATTGTCTGTAGTACTGTTAGCTGAAATAGCTAATGGAGAAAATACAGGCCCTGTTGTTGTGCTGGGTATAAGCGTGTTACTAGTGCTTACAATTTATTTTTTCTTCTTTTAAAGTTTGAGAAGTCAATAATAAGTTGAGAATCTAGAATGGTAATAACATAAATAAGATTAGGCCTGTATCAAATGTATTTTTAAGGCTGCTGTGTTAGTTTAAGAGCATGTGATTTCCAATTTACAATATTAACATTTCCCGCTTTGGATGCCTGTTTAGTTTCTTCTTCAGTACTTACTACATTCACAACAGCAAGAACCATGCTCAGAACGCAACCTCAGAACAGGAATTGCATTTCAAGAGAGAGTCCTGTGAAGCAGATTGAAAGGAAAGAATTAAAGTGTCCTGGTTTTGGCAAAAGGAAAGACCTGAAGGGTATGTGGCTTTCCTCTGTGTAGAGAGAATGGAAAATCAGACAGCAAGAGCTGTTCCTAGTTGAGTGTGGCTTGTGGTGTGACCTTAAATGTCATCTCTGTCTTAGTTGCCTATGTATGTGCTCAGAATAAGTCATTATTGAATAAAGTTTGCTATTCTTCTGCTTCCTTGTCTCTGCTTTGAGATCTTGTCAGCCTTTTACTTCTCATTTTTGTCTTTGATTTTACCTCTCCCTAATTCTACTCTTTCCTAACATTTGCCTTTTGCAATTTTTTGGTTTAAGTGACAGGCAGAACATTGGTAGTAGTTCTTGGCATGTGCTTTTTTCGCACTCACAGAATGGTTGACATTGGCAGGGACCTCTGGAGATAATTTAGTCCATTCCCCAGACATGCTCAGACAGGGTCAGCTAGAGCAAATTGTCCAGAACCGTCCAGTCAGGTTTTTGAGCATCTCCCAGGATGAAGAACCTACAACCTCTCTGGGCAACCTATGCCAGTGTTTAACCACTCTCACTGTGGAAAAAAGTTTTTCCTTCCTTTCAGTCATGCAGTCTACAGCCACACCCCAAATTATTTTTGTTATGAAATTTAGGCCAGGTAACATTGAAGCATCTGTATTACCTTTGGATTGCATGAAGTTGGCTGGCTCCAGTGATAGCATACTGTGAGTGGCTGCTGTCTCTCTATACAGCTTTGAGTACTGTGGCTTACATCAGAAAACCTCAGGATGTCATGAGTCACACCTTCTCAAGACCTTTTTGATCTTTAGTTTACTTCTCAGATGATGAAGCCGCAAGGTTTTTTTATATGACACCTACTAATCCTTGGAGGATTGATGGGTTTGGCAATGTAAGTGTGAGCGTGTGTTATAAACAGAATATTTTTTGTGTATTTTTTCAATATAGGTATTCTGACTGTAGGGTTCTGCACTTTAGTGAGAGGGAGGAATACTTGGATAATGCCAAGGGTACTGAAGCTGCTAACTGAGAGGGAGTTTTACAAATTTGAAAATTACCTCCTTTTTCCTGAAGAAATTAGAACTTGTGAATTAGTCACTGATACCTTTTGAGGCCAGCTATATATCAGCTGTGTACTTGCAGTTTGAGAGCTGTGTTTTCTGACACCTGACTATATGCAGGCTGAGGAAAAAGCTATTGAAAGACAAGTCTCTCAATTTTTCAATTACAGTGTTTGCTTGGTCCTTTAGTATAAAAGTCTGAACTGGTAAATAAGTTTAAATTAATACATATATCTGGGGAAAATCTCCATGCTCTTTTCTGGGGATGTGTGTGAGGGTGTAGAGCTCTTGTTGGATCACACATGCACTTGCAGCTTAATAAGGTAATAAGGATGCAAGGTGAACTGTAGATTTGTTACAAAGCATCTTGTTTGTCTGTTGTGGTGGCAATAGAGTAGATATTGGTCATAAAGCACAGGGATGAAAGAGTGGGAAGAAGAAAACATGCTTTTCATAGGATTTTCTACACTGGCATGTTTGTGTTTTCACAGTTATTGGTTGACTGGTTGGAAAGATTGTCCTCATCCTCAATGAAAATAACTGTTAACAGTGACTGTAAAAATGAAAACCAAAACCCAGCAACAACAAAAAATACCCACAAAAAAAACAAAACAAACAAAACCAAACCAAACTAAAAACCCAACCACCAAATAAACCAAAACCAGATAGAAATGGAAAAATACTTCAGAAATATTTGGGAAATGTGTTGAAATACTAGTTGGTTCTTTTACTATAACAAACATGAATACATGCAGGGCCACTGAGAGGAAGAACGTGTTATCCAGAATTTATAGCATAAGCATGTTTTTTTGGGGGGGAAGCATTAATGCAAAGTGGATAAGTGTTCTTCAGTGAAGTGTAAAATTGTGATCCCACACCTGTTGGCATGGACTTCTGAGCCAGAATCCACAGGTGAGGTGGTGGTGACCTGTTTCCTTCTTTTTGGAGGTTTCCATGTGACTGTGTGGGAGGACTGAAAATGAATGCAAACACACCTGGTATCAGTACAGCACTGATAAGGAGATTGATCTCCTTTGAAAAAGAGATTCAGGTGGCCACGTTAGTGAAAAAGATGTCAGCTTGCCTTTAGCAACTATGTCTTTCTGGTTTGTTAATCTTGGATGACATCCTTCCATCTCTTTACAGAGGGAACCCACTTAACTGAGCAACTTCACTAGATTTTGGAGGAAAGGTTTTGTGAGTTAACTGCTGTTGGGTGCCAGTTGGTGAGAATTGGACAGAGATGGTGTTGCTCAGTTGCAGTATTTATGGTGTTCTGTCTGTTATTAAGCCTAAACTAACAAAATACAGGTCAACTTTTTTTTTTTTTTTCTGTTTTGAAGCCTATTTATATTGTCTTGAAAGTTCTACTCACAATGACTCAAGCCACATTTAATGGAGGAGGAGCTCATGCTTGCCTTGAGCTGAATGTCCTGCCTCATAGCAAGTGAGACCTAAATGGATGAGAGCAAGCCATTTCTGTTGAATTTGTCATGAGGATTAGGGCACATAGCTGATGAGGACACTTGCCCTGACACATACAGTTCTAGATCCTGAGGACAGACCTACAGAGGATTTAGTAGTGGTTGTCCTGGATCAGAGGGAAGGAGTGTCTGTTCAGGTGTTGGGTCTGTAGGAATGGGTGCTTTGGTGTAGAATGTGAGGAGAGAGGATATATGTGGATTGATGTTTCTGCTGGAATATCCCATGTGTTGCCTTTCATTAGGGCTGGAAGTTAAGCTGCAGCCTGGATTTTGATATCCCTCAATGGACCTGTCTGAAAACATCTATCCCCATCTGCTTTTCCTTCTCACTTAACATTGGCCTGCTGTTTTAGCTGAAATAGAGGGAAAGTCGGTAGGTCAAATAATTTTAGTCCTGTTCATGTTATAACCAGCTGCATGCAGTGGATAAGACTGTGCCATGGTTTAAGTGTGGGTAATGAGTGCATTTGTGAGTGTACTCTCTATATGTGCATATGTATGTGAAATTGTGTGTGTCTCTGTGTGTGTCTCAATGGGTGCCTCTGTCTTCATAGGAATGTGATTTCACTGTTGATTCTCCCTTGTAGAGAGGGAAAATACTTATGACTAAACAGATGTTTAATTTAGCTTCATTAAAAGTAAATGGAAAAAATCAAGTCTATAGAAGGTCAATAAAATTATCACCAGCTTTATTTTACCTAAGTCACAAAATGAAGAAATAATAAAGATTAAAGTATTTATAAGTTAAGCTAGAAGAGCAACAATGTAGTTAAAGTACTGATGGGGAAATTAGCTTTCATTATCATCCTTAGTCTTGCTATTCTTATAATTTGTAGATAAAATATTGGTGGTTCTTGACCCCTTGCGCACTACAAGAGCTCAGGTGAAAATTTTTCTCGTACTGTGACTGTAGCATCTATCTACACATACACTATCAAGTGCTCCTTTTCCGTGTCTTACAGAGGAAAAGCGAATGGTAGCATCACTGAAAATTTCAAAAGAAGGTGGGATGCTGATCTGCTCCCATGGCTGTAATCATTTGGTGATGGTCACTGTTTGCCCTGCAGAACTTGGACTGTTTAAAGGAAAATCTTTCCTGTTTACCCTGATAAATGTTATTGTATCATCTTCTAGTACTTGGTTTAAGTGGAACAATGGTGAGTATTAGCCTCAGTGGAGAATATGTCAATCACTTGTGAGTTGTCCTTGTGTGAACTTTATTTGATTGTTTTAAGGTGGATGACTCTTTGCTGTAGAAAGAGCAAATAAGCAGGCAGGCACAAAAAAATTTGTTGAACTACTTTTTCCCTGAGATATTTGAAGTCCCAGAGAATGAATCTTTTTCAAATGGAGTTAACTCAGGAAATATGCTTTTGTTGTTTTATATACACTGCTGTGTGATGTTACAGAATGTGAAGTGGGCAACAAGTCAGGTTTACAGAAGAAGCTGTCATTGAAACAGGTTTTGGTGAGAAATAAGCTTTCATGTAAGAAGTTCCAGTGTTGAAAATAATCATAGCTTGACTCCTTGTCTCCCAAGGGCATGAGGCTGGAGTTGGACTAGGATTAGCAGCCCTTGCTGGTTCAGGAGCAAATTAGCGAGGGGCAAGTGGACTTCCCCTATCTGAGCTACTAAAACAGCATTTCTGAATACCATTTTATTTTCATTGGAAAGGTGACATGGTTCAGGTGAAAGATGTTTTCTGATCTTCCTTTGCAGGAATAGTGTTGGGGGCTTCTTGTTTACAGTAGAGCATGCCTGGAGTGTTTTTGATGAAGTGCTTGTCTTAAAATCACAAACTTAATGGGATTCAGGAATAATCTTAGTCTGTCCTGGTTTTTATGCCTAAATTGTGCCTGTTTTCAGGCAAGCAAAAATTGGGGGATGGTGAAAAAAGTAGTTAGCATTTCTTTCTCAGGAAAAATGATAGCAGCAGTTGATGCTTCTGTGGGAGAAAGGAACAGTGGGCCTGTTGAGGAGAATAAGGAGGTGTTGGAGCTATGATAGCCTCTGCTCCTTGTGGTGGTGGACCTGTTACTAATCAGTTTTTTGACACACATCCACACTCACCATGCTCATACAGTTAGCTCATTACAGTTTGTCAGCAGGAATTCTGCTGTGTGGCATTGGTACCATTACTGTTGTTTCAAGAGGTGGGGCAAGTAGTATCTGAAAAGCATTGATTTTTTTTTTTTTCATGTACTTCAGGAATTATAGTTTAATAACTGGTATATGTGATCTACAGTCTAGTTTCTTCTCTTCCCTTAAATATAAAATTTTCATTGAATCATTGCCTTGCTAGCTTTTCTTTGACAAAGTTCTGACAAAACCCATATATCTAAGTAGACTTATTTTATTTGAGGTTTCTATGCAGAATGTTAAACTGATAATGCAGTAAATAAATGAAACAGGTCCTATTTAAAGGTAATTTTTCCTCAGTGTATGGTAAAACACATCCTATAAATCTACTGAATTTTTATGAACAGCATAATCAGGTTAGTACTATTTATTGGTTCAGAGAGATCATGGATACATGTGTGGGAAAACTTGTTGTTTAGTTACAAACCATTAGTTAAATTCTTCTGCTGTTAATGAATGTAGAACTTTTCTGTACTTGATAAGAATACAGTGAACCTTATGTCACCTTTGTCTTGAAGCTGTTAATTACAGAAATAAATGGGATTCACACATTTCACCAGTTTTAATGCAGTACTGGGATTCTGTTCAGCCAGGCTTAAAACAGGAGATTTTCATTTATGTCTTCTGCAACAAAGAAGAAAATGTTACTAACATTTGATGCCAAAGAGACATTTTTATGCTCTATCACTATCAAGAAATGATACACTAAATTCCCAGAGGGCTCATGTAGGGGAATGCTGTCCCTAACAAAAAGTAAATATATCATATTCAGGAGTCGTTCATTTGGACCCTTCTGGATAAATGGTTGCTTGTTTCTAGTATTAGGTCTCCTTGGTCTGTTCCTGAGCCAAGAATCCCTTCCACCTCCCTGTTCACAAATGACTGACCCTAAATCCCTCTTTGGATGAATGATCATTGGCAGCAGTACATGTATATTATGATAACTCCTTACAGGTTACTTCCACACGTGGTTTGTGACTGGTAAATTGTCATCAGAATAGCTGGAAAAATTCTAGGAAGAACGAAGGCTCTGCATGTCTGACCTCTGACCAGAATCAACCTCCACTTAAAATTAGGGAGTTGCTAAGTAGGTTTTTGATCACATTTCTTAAGTCTTCAAATTTAGCCAAACACCTGTCACTGTTCTAGGATTAACCACTTGTGCTACCTTTGCTACCTATGGCTGGCAATATTGTTCAGCTGTCACTCAGGGCTAGATCAGAAGGTAGATTGAAAACAAATGCCTTAGGTTGAATGTAGTCATGTAAATCTCAAATTGCTATCGGGACAGCTTCTGTACAGCTGCTGCCTAATTCTAGACACATCACCAGTACAGTAGTACCTGTCTTTTCACTTTGCTAGAGAAGTCTCAATGTGGATTGAGTTGAACCAAATGTATACCTAGTCCATTTAGGATTCAGAAACCGTCCCTGCCTCTGCCCAAGCCTCCTGATGCATGCAGTCTGGTGGGCACTATGTGAACACGTGTTGCATCTGACAGATTAGGTAAAATAGACAGTTTGGACTAGAACTATAGTGTGATGACAGCATTTGTGTTGTACATAGTAATCTAGAGGTAGGCATAGTTACTTGATCAGTGAGAGATCGTGGCAATTTTCCCTACTTGGCTTGAGATCTTTAAATGCATTTTCAATCAATATCCTTTGACCACTGATTTAAAAGTATAAACTCACTTTGCCTTTCTTTTGGCACTGAAGGATAAAATAGTGTTTCTTGAGAGACAGACATGCAGAACATACAGGTTCAGACACTACACAAGAATGATTTTATATTTAGTACAAACTACCTCCCAAATTTTTTCCTCATAGAAAATCCTCTTTCCTAACTTTATAAAACAGTCCAAGGCCTTGCACCTTTTGCAGTCTTGTTATTGTTCCATTTGCCTCTGTGCACAGTAGCCATGAGCTGGCTACAATTTCTTTCCTGAACGTTGTAGTTTGAGAATGTGCCTAGTCTTGATAAGACTATTTTGTCCTATACATCTGCCTGTTCCTTTAGATTTACCTTCCTTAATCCCAAAGCAGTGACACCATTCATTCAAAGCAATGAGTTTGTCTTGATCTCCATCGCACTCTTGGAAGAAACGGGTTATACAGTGTTCCATGGGAACAAGGGAGGCTCTCAAAGGTGCGAGCTCCGAGTGTGTTAATGATCTGAAAGAGCAAGTATGTAAAGCTGTATTTTATTAACAAATTGGGATCTTCACAGATAATCTAAGATGCTAGAAGATGACAATGGTGGCTTTGACAGAGATGCCCCAGTGGATTCTGTTGTGGTGCTTCTGTAGTGAATCTGTCGGAGGTCATCACAATGATGTATAATACCTGATAAATGAAAATGTTTTAACTGCTATTTGCTTGCTAACATTTTTTTTTTTAGAACAGGTATTACTGTGACCTCTTCACAACTCATCAGTTGTGGAGTTTTGCTGTTAGTCTTCAGGAGATAAGCTTGCAAAGGTGCTTAGCTATGTTCTAAGACAGTAGGTGTGATCGGCATGAGGTATTGAGGGTCTGCAGCCTTGAAACATGGATCCCACCACCACGTGCCATAACCAAAAGCCTGAAATCTAAGTCATGTTCTCAAAAGCTGGGGACTTCTTCTGAACTGTGACACTGGTGCTGTCTTACCGTATCTGCAGCATTAGTTGAAAACTATGGGTACCTTATTAGTGAATTATTGCTGACAGGCCTCTGCACTTTGAAGTTAGCCTGTTTCTCTTAGCTTCAGTAATAACAGGATCTCATGAGACTTGTTTTCCTCCAGGGTCAGGGCATTAGTAGCTATTAAGGCACTGTAAAGTTTAAGGTATAATACTTGATGATTATGAAAGGCAAGAGGATAGCAGATTCTGACCTAAGACATGGCTCCAGCAAAACAATGAGAGAAGCTCTGTCTTAGAAAGAGGGGGATACTGGCTTCTGTTGGCAGAGCGACTGGTCCTGTATGTAGAGAACCCTTTGAGTGGTATAGAAAAGTAAAACAGCCTGAACTTAAACAGCACATTAGAACTGAACCTAAAAGACTTTTTTTTTTTTTTTTTTTTTACCTGTCAACAGGGTGCTGATCAAGCTGGTGAAACTGCCAGTGCACAGGATACACATACATGTGATAATTTTTCTCAAAGTCATGCAGGAGCAGCTCAACTGCGTGGTTGCCAGCCATGAGGCGCTTGTCATTCTGGTAGATTTTTTTGACCTGAACACAACAGGGAAATTGATGTTTTTTTGTTTATGGATGAAGATCTGCCCTGAAGAGAACTATCCAGCAAGGAGGTGGTTTGAAGAAATGAAACTTGATAAAGCTCATTTCCCCAGTGGTATTTTAGTGTTTGTGACCATACACAGCATGAAAATCTTGCCTATAATCCAGATGATTTTTTTGCTGTCCGTATCAACTTTGGTAGTAACTAGAAAGGCAGTGAAAATCCTGTGATCTAATTGTCAGACTCAGCTTAGAAGGTTAGTAGGAGACTAAACCAATTTTGATCACATTTGTTGATCTTCTGTCCTGAGGCAAGCAGCTCAGCCTTTGGTGTGAAATAACCCATCTCAGAAATCACCTCATTTGTACCATTTACTATGAGATGTTCCAGGTAGGTCAATGTCCCTCTTGGTAGCTATTGTAAGTAGTCTTTGGTGTTGCTCGAGTATATTTTTGTATAAACCTGATGTGACCCACTGCATGTACCTCCTACTCCAGATTTAGAGCAGGCCAGGTCTTGGTTTAACTTGAAGTATTTTCTAATAGTTATGGCTTTTTAGACAGTTATGGCATCTATATCTTCAAAACCAAACTAGTGTCACCAATTCGTGTGATGCAAATCCTTCTCTAAGAAAAAAAAAAAAGGCTGAATGGTAATAGAGGCTTACTCCATTTTAAGCCAGTGTAGTGTAATGCTGCAGGTCTACTGGGTGGTAGAAAGCAGCTCTTTTCTCTTAAAACTGAGCATCGGACTTGTGTAATTTTATAGCCCTTGAATATCATGGTGCAGATGGACAGTGTATGTAGCTGGATTAAAAAGTGCAAATGATACCCTCAACTGTTGAGTCCATTTTCAGATACTTTTGTATTGGTGGCCAAGTAGAAGATATCTCTCAAGAACAGAAGAGGAGCTGCTTTTGGTCTGTCCAGGGCAGGGATCCCCTGCCGCCATCAGGGTCCCCTAAACTCTGTATTGTAATTCTGTCGTGAATCCTGTGTGACTGTCCAGTTGCTCAGTCTCATGAGGTACTTGAGCAGTTTTCTTCATGGTGAGCCCAAGTCCCTCCTTTCCACACCTGTGTGTTGCCAGCAGACTTTGTCCCCTACCTGCCTGTTTCAGGTCACTTAACAAGAGCTGAATGGCACAAGTCCTTTTGACTCCAACTGCATGAACTGGGTCGTCCTTATCTACATATTAGTTGATTTTTTCCGAGAGGTTTGTCACAAAGCAGGTCCCTGAACAGAAGCTCTTTTGTGTCTTCTCAAGCGAATGATGTCTATCTGGGTATGCACCAATTCTGACTTTTCTGCCTCCTGCCTGTAGACACTGGCTTCAAAGTAATACACTTGGCTTGAATTTGCATGGGCAAAAGGATCATTCATAGCAGAAATGTGTCTTGGTTTAAATGAGTGCAAGGGGACATGTAAATGTATTTTGCAACTTGTGAATCTAATTGGGTCTAAATTACCTTAATGAGAATGGAAATGGGAGCACTCATAAGATGCGAATCACTTTTTTTTTCCACATGGTTAGTCTAGCTCTAACAATGTAACTGTCTTATTTGAAAAGGATTGCTGACCTTATTCCTTTGCTTTTCAGTTAGAAATCCAGAAGTATCCAGATCACGTTCATAATATTGCATAAGGATGTTTTTGAGCCAGTCTCGCATCCGGAGGGGGAACTGATCCACTTCATAATCAGTACAGTGAGGGATGTCTGTGCCAAACAGGAAAACTTTTGTTAATGAGTGATCTGTTAAGTTCCGATTTGAGCATTTCTGAGCCAAGTTAGGTTTGATTTGACTCTCGCCAGCAAACTTCCAGTTAAGCTTAAAATTGATGGAGTTGTTAATACATAAAATTGGAAATGCAGCTAATGGGTTAAATTTAGGATTCAGGTGCTTCATACCCTTAATTAAAGAAAGTGACTTTTCATACATGTTTAGGATTTAAAGGTCTTAATTAGTAGATAATTGATACAGAAGGGGAGAGCACAGGAAGAAAGCAGGTAATTTAGGACTAGCTGGTGATTAAAGCTACTGGCTCTTTATACCTAGGTGAATTTTCCATATTAGAACAAGCCTTACGTTTGCAGGAGCCCATATAGTCTAGGTGCAGCTGGCGTCCCATTTTTGTCCCTTCAAGTTGACATTTGGTGCCAAAGAGTTGACATGTGCCATCATAAGTCTTATTATCTGTACCACAAACCTAGAGGAGGAGTGAAAAACAAAACCACCCCACCCACCACCACTGTGTTGAGAAAAATTCTGGTCACTCATATAGGCATTACAATAACAAAAGTATTGTTAACATATGGTGTAGCAGTTGTGAATACCCACGGGGAATACATGTGATCAGAAGTATTGAAAATTGTGGTTGTTATACGCCTACATAAGGATTAGTTGTCTGTACTTACACACTCAGTTTCAAGACACTTAAATTTAATTTTGTGTTATAGTAATACAGTTTCTGCGATGGTATGGGATTATTACACTAGATATGTACTAGTATTCAGTATCTTTAAAACATCTAATGGGTAAATAGATCTTTTAGTGACAGGGAAAAGCTGTGATCCCTGAGAGACTAAGTAAAGCAAATCACTGTAGGTACTATGTAGCTATATGCGTTCATACTATTCTCAAGCTATGGTCAGGGAATTTGGATACTTTATACTTACTTTTACAATTACTGGAATCACCCAAACCCACTTGCATGCTTTTTAGGGTAGGATTATTCTAAATAGTAGCAGGGGAATGTTATCTTTTAAACTTTTTAGTTGGCTTTCCCCCATGATGTCCACTGAATGAAGTACTTACATGCTCATAGTCTTTGGTGGAAGGGCAAGCAGCAGGATCTTGGCAAATACAGCTGGGTTTCCCTTGCTTGTCTGTATGGCAGACTTTACCTCTTTTGCAGTGGAAGTTCCTACATGGGTCTAGCAATCATAGAAAGGAGGAGAGACTGTTAGAGGGAATGGGATGAAGCCAAGTGTTTGTCAGGTACTACTGACAGTTAAAGCAAAATACAGCCCAATACTCACGAAGAATTAAAGTGCTTTTTGTAAGTTTGTTAAAATGCAGCTGGATTTTGTATTGAATAAAGCAAGCCCAACTTTAAATGAGGATTTTTGTGAGAATTCTAGCAGTCCCAGGTTTGAGTTGGATGGGGAAATAAATTTCTCAGAAAAAATTATTTCTTCTGTAAGGACTGACATTCACTTCCAGCTTCCTTTGGTGAAATGTATCCCATCTGCACTTGCTGAATCCAGCACTGCCACTTGGCTCACTCCTAGCTGAATTCAAGCTACTGCTCTGAAACTGAAGGATTTCAATGCAGGGTAATTCCCAATCCTGTATAACTGACACAAAAATTTGTGCACTGTCTACAAATGTTTTTCACAAACAGATGAGTAAATCCAAGGATTTATGGAAGGGGTTCTTTGGGACCACAATGGCGTTGCAGGATTATGCTTAAGCACAGTTCAGTCATGTGAAATCACATGGTGCCAAAGGCAGAAAAGAAATGCAGACCAGCGGATTCCCCAGCTGCAGAGAGTTAGCAATTACGTGATGGCTTTGCTTGTGGCTTACCCAGGAGAGCCTGCTCACTCCTGTTGCTTGCACTTTCCATCTCTCCATAGGAACTGCCTGTAGTCTTAACCTGTACAGTCAGAGACATAGGTAGAAGTTGTGGTAAGTCTTGGGAAGAAAAAAAAAAAAAAATACTTGGACAAATTTTTTTCAGGTACAAATATAGAACTGACTGAGGCACAGTTTGCTTGCAGCAGAAAGAGGTTGCTATGCAAAATGCGTGAGAAACATAAAGCCTGTGGTAGTATTAAGGTGTTCTGTTATTTGGTGGGGGGAAGGAGGTGGAGACAGAAACAGGAGCTTGGTAAGGCCTGAGCACCTGGAGATTCTGCAGCGCTTGGCATGCAGCAGTGTAGTGCCTTGAGGTTGGCAGAATTGGCGCTTCAGGTCTTAATTTGCACTGGGGTCTGCCTAGTAGTGCCTGGGAGCAGCAGCACCGTGAGCTGCTGGGCAAGACACATGAGGCAGGAGAAGGGAAGGACGTATCTTCAGTTCTGGCCCTTCTTTGGTGCTGTGGGGAAGTGCCTGCCCTCTTTCAAATGGATTCTTCCTATAATTATTATTATTTTTTTTTAATATTACAAATCCTTATTTAATGCCATAGGAAAGCTCACTCTTTTCTTTTGAAGAACACCCCTGATGTGGGTGGTCTCTCTAATAGCTGGCTGGGGTACAGGAGATCTGGGTGCAACATCCTCCTTTGTCTGAAGGGACAAAGCCCCCTGTGTGAAAGTCCCCTAGCCACTAAGGTGGTAATTATTGTGGGGACTCTAGCCCTGCCTTTCCAAGCTGTTCACTTTTGTACAGTAGTGTTTAAACTCTTTGGGAGAGAGGAGCAAACAGGCTTTCCTTGAGACTGAGTTCCAAGTTTTATATCTCTGTATCCGTATTTATTTGTGTGTTTCATTACACATCCCGCTGGGGCTGGAGCTCTTACATGAGTTGTGCTCTCTTCCTTTCTGGTACATTTCATCTAAATGTTATATGTGAAGTGCCATAGCATGGTCTAGATTAATAGTGAATAAAAGGGAAGATGAAACTTCTGCATATTAATAAATTATTACACCTGTTTTTCTCCAAAATGTCATTTCAATCATCAGGAATTTAAATTTGGGATTGGTTTCCCCCCCACACACACCTTTTTCTAGTATTCTAACTTTATTTTAAAGAGAATTTACCTTATCCTCACTTTCCATTGAATTCATGCTCTGAACAGAGCTACGCATTTCTAGTTGTTGCTTTCTGTCAGAATTAGGTGTCTCATGATCGTAATCATCTTGTTCAGAGGGAATAAGGTCTTTAATCTTGACGTTTTGGTAATCCTCGATCTCTCTATGAACTGCAGTGTCATCTCTGGTGGTTTCTTCCCCTTCATGCTCAGTACTGGTGCTCTCCTGGTCATTGGCTTGGATTCTCTCCTCTTCCTCATAGGCTGCTTCTTTCCAGATATTGCTGAGATCTTCTTCACCATCAACATCGCCACTGTCATGACCATTGTCATCAATATTTCTGTCTTCCATATCTTGTCTTTTCACCAATGACTCGTGATCACTCTGATAGTCTATTTGAATATTGTTTTTCCTCTGTTGACTTTGCTGTTTTTCATCCTGATCTTTGTTATGTTTTTTTTGAAACTGGGGGCTTTCTTCTTCATAAGACTGCTTCTGGATGTTCTCTCTCTCTTCTTCTAGGTTAAGTTTCTCACCGTGTCTCTTAGTTATCTGGCTTGGTTGACTGGAATCTCTCAGGTTTTCATCAGCCTGCATACTGTTTTCATTTTGCTGTCTTTTGTATTGGCTACTTTGATTTGTCTGGTGGCCTTTGAGCTTCATACCTCTGTAATCAGTTTCTTCACCCCATTCCTCATCCTCTTTTTCCACACCTTCATCACTTTCACTGTTTTCTTCAGATAGGCCAGCTGTGTTCTTATTGTATTTCCATACGTTATGCTCATGATCAAGACTGAGAGCACCCATGGGATTTTCTGCGTTGCTCAGAACATGTCGATTGGCTGTGTTGCTGTGTTTCTCCTGCCTCCTGAACTGGTAATGCTCAGAGCTGGACTGTTCCCTGCCACTGCTTCCAGAGTCACTGTCTTGGTTATCAAAAGCCAAACCTTGTTGATTGTGCAGCACAAGGAAATTGATGCTTTTTAGGCTGTTTTTCACTTGATGCTCACTACCAGTTCTTCCTTGTTTTCTAGTGGTCTGGGGCTCATCCCTGTGCTCAGTGTCTGGTACTGATACCTCTGGGTTTAGATTTTTGTGACTGGGCAGCAAATTGCCCTTGTCTACATACCCTGAATTTTCTTTCTTTGGGGATTCAGGATTAATATCTTCTGTCTTAAAAACAAAACAAACAAACAAACAACAACAACAACAAAAAAAAAACAACAAAAAAAAAGCAGGTAGGTTAATAAATTCTAGCATTTATTTGAAGTCAATGCAATGTTGTATTTTCTTTGTATTGCAAAGCATGACACTGACTTTGTTTTCTTTGTAAATGTGCGTCTTAAGCTAGCCCAGAGCATGAAATTCACAGGTGATATAATTTCCATTTCTCATCAAATTTGTTTATCTGCCCCTTCTTTTGTTGCTGGAGTTGCTGAAGAATTCTATGCAACTCTGTTTAAGATCTCATAGGAGATGGATGCATATGGGTGTCTTGTGAAATCTCAAAATGCTTAATTAGTAATTTAGTGTCATAACTTCAAGCACTTATAGGCTGTAATAATTATCATTTACCTCAGAGAAGGGGGGATGTGATACTCATCTTCCCACACAGATAAATGGGAAGCCTGGGGAAAGAGGGGTAGGGGGAGAGAAAACATCTTTCACAAGGTATTGTGGTAGTAATTCCTGAGGAGCACACTGCATCTTAATTTTTTCATAATCGATGTATTCATCTACTTTGAGTCTTATACATCACTGCTTCCTAGCTGAATTCACCAATCAATACTATCGTATTTGGTGGCAACTACTGAATCATAAGCTCACTAGCAGAAGCTGTAGGTGTTTGAGTGGCGCTTTTATTTTTTTTTTTTTGCATGCTGTCAAGACAATAGCAAAATTAGTAACCAGTGCAAGAGGTTCAAATGATTGAAGAGAAAGCAGGTGTTAAAATGACTGTTAGCTCTTGCTGCAGCAATTGCCTTTCTGCTGCTGTTAGCATCAGAGCAGCTGCTGAGTGAGTACAGGCACTTCCAACAGCAGCAACATCTGATGTGTTTCTGAACAACACCTATGGATGTTCAGTGTTGCTTATTGCTTTCTACAATATAGCACCTGATTCTGATTTTCCTTAAAGCTTTTGAGGGGTTGGTTTATGAAGATGAGACCTCCTCAGTGCCCAAGTTGCTGGAATAGCAAGCTTGAGAAAGATGTGGCTTATGTCTTGCCGGGAAGTCTTGTTATGCACCACAACCTTAATGCAGAGATGTGCCTGGATGTGGCTTTCAGCTTCTGCTTTTTGTTACACCTTTGTCCTCAGCATAAAATAAATTTCGAAAACTCAGTTGCTTGTGAAGATACTTGGGTCTGTTAATCTGATGGGCAAATTTCAGTCAATGTAATTGCAATTAGCTACTGCGAGGGTACAAGTGGTGTTTGATAGATGTTGCATATTCACTTGGAAGTGATGATTTGTTGGGTATTGCAATGTTTTGTTTTGATGCAAGTGTCTTTTGTATGAGTTGTTTCTGGGAGACTGCTGTAGACTGTAAACTAGTGTTTATACCATAATTTGTTCTGCTGGATACTTTATTAGGAAAAGTTAAGGTTTTGGGTTTTATAGTGCAGAGCACCACCTGGATTGGCATGAAATGTATCTAGAAAGCTACACAGAGTGGGATATAATTCATAACAAAAAAAAAAAAAAAGGTTACCAAGAGTTGAGATTTTGCATTTTTTACTACAGAGCATGCTCTGAATTTAGTTCTTCCAAAACATTCGTTTGCTTGAAGCTGAGGTCCGTTGTGTCTGAACCACAAATGCTCACCAGAATGGTGCAATAAAAAGGAATTTTAATTTAGGTCAATTATGAATGCAGAACTGTGAACTCTGTCATTAGATGCTGATATGGCATAGGGCTGTTGCAGTCATCTGTCTCATTACCATCAGGGCTGTGTATCTGGCTTGTCAGCCACAGTGTACTTTTCCAAGATGAGCTGTAGCTAATGCTCTGTATTGTGAATAATGAAGCATATGGTGGCTAAAATTCTTACTGTATATGATCACCTGATGTGATAAATTAAGGATTTCATCTTCCTTGCTTACTGGAGTAGCGATAACCACGAGTTCAACTGTCTGTGGAGCTTGTTGTTTGTGTGAATATGAGTGTAATGATTATATGTGGGGATTCATTTAAGGTAATTTGTTCAAATAAGTGAAACTTCTGTTGTGAGCTTTAGATTTTGTCCTGTTCTGTTTCTAGCTACGTAATATGTGAGGCATGAGGTGCTTGGTACTAATTCTTGGAGTTAAGGGGCCTACATTTTTTTTAACCTAAATCAATTTGTAAACAGCTGCATATGTGCTAATGTGTTTTATATATTTGAGATGAATAACATAGGTTGCCTCTTAGTGTTTAGAGAACAAGAGGAGTACCTTTTCTGCAGTTTTCTGTCCATGGATTCCGAGTTTGTAGTTTAAGGGATGGGTCTAGAGTAGACAAATATATACAATATCTGCATGTCAATAAAGATCTTATATAGGTCAGTGAGATAACATACAGTATCCACAGAATCAGAAATTAAGTGCTCAGTAATCATAGCATGATGAGAACTTACTGGAATAGCAAAAGCTGATCCTACAAGACAAATGAAGAGAGCTACAGCCTTCATGCTTTTCAGATCTCGTAGAGGACAGTAATTAATGGTACAGTGGTAGGGTTTAGAAGTTTCCTTTCTGCAAGCAACATGAAAAGAAATAAAGTTAGGATTTGGGTATAATGGTCTAAAAATGACTGATGGAAGCAAGGTAGTAGCTGCTGTAACTTGCTTAGTCTGAAGACACACAAAATTTCCACACAGTGTCCAGCTGTATGTAAACTCAGGTGTTAGACAGGCTTATCTAGAGAACACTTTGGCCTTAGCTCTTATACAGGACTTAAGCTGTCTGCTGTGTTCACAAACTCTAGTGGTGTTACTGAAAGGCAGAATAATGAATGTACGTAATGAGCCCTGTAAATCTCTGTCCACTCTTCTGATACACTACTTTGTGAAAAATGTCCCTTTTTTGGTTCTGAGACAGTGACTGTTTGTGGCATCTTTAAGGCAAAGGAATCTCCTGGTGGCTGTAGTAGGAAGAATTAAGTGGTGGAGTTCTGCTCAGCAGGGTTCAAAGCCCGGAATTGCTGTCCAGGCTGCTTGACGAATGGGTGCAGCCTTGCTTTGGGAGCAACAAACTCAACTCTGCTGTGTAGCAGTGAGAGATGGATGGCGGGAAGAACATACAAAGCATTAGGAATTTCTTCAGTCTATGCTAATATCCTCATGTGAGTGAAAGACTCATTTTTACCTTGAATGTCACCAATAAATTTTCTCACTTTTGTGGTGCATGTGGACTGAAAGTTTCTATGGCTGTAGCTGTATCACTGAGAAAAATGAAAATAAACAAGACCTATTGTTTCTGTTCCTCCCCCCCCCTTTTTTTTTTTATAACTGCATTGCTTTCTTATCCTTTTTAATTTTCTGCCGTTCTTTTTTCTGTGTTCATACAGAATCAGTAGGATTTTCACTCTGCTTCTGTTTCTGCTCTCATTATACTGATTGTTCTTCCTTGGAAATTGTCGTCTTGGTCTTTACACCCCCACCCCCTCCGCCCTTTAAAATATTTTCACTTTCCATCTAACATATGTCCTTTTTCATTGCTTCTCCCTTTCCTAATGAAATACATATCACCATGTCCTCAGCTGAAGAACATCGTGTCTTTGGATGGTTGAACTGCCTGGCATGTGAAGAAACTGGCAGTGGTTTCAGCCAGTTAGGTCAACTGTATTCCATCACGTGAGGCTCAGTGTATGGTTTTAAAATGTTGTTCATCCAGGTGGTTTTTCATGAGGAGGGGGAGGAACCCAAAACCCCAAAATGAGAAGTCCAAGGGAGTTTGTGTTTGTGTGAGACAAAATGGTGAAGCGAGGACTTTGAGCATTACATTCTTTCAAAAGCATCCTGACTGCTGCTGTGCTTAGAACTGAAGTGTCCACTTCGGAAGATCCCTGCTTTTACACGTTATTTAATGTCAGTACCTCTTAGTTAACGAAGAGCAAAATACTTCATTAGTGGTGCATATTTAGTATGCAGACCATTTTTCTTGCAATTAACTGATTTAATCCCCAAATGATCTCTTATCCAATTCTCTATTATCTCTTTGGCATCCAGAGTTAGTTGTGTAAGATGTTTTCAGAGGGAAAGACAGAATACAACAAAAGCCACTAATGATCATATGAAAAATGCCTCACTGGACTGTGTATGGGAAGTCACTTCAGATCAAGGCAAGTTTTGTTAGACTGAGGGTCATGTAGGCAGCTTGCCAGAAATGCAGGGGCATAATCCAATTTAATGTATATCTCTAAAAACTGTGCTTTTGAAGACCTGGCAAGTGACTGAGGAAATAAATATTTGTATTAGGAAGTCTTGATTTCTGTTGCTGTCTGTTTCTGGTGAGCAACACAGCTCTGGGCATGTCACTTAACTGAATTTCTAAAAATCTCACTTGTCATATTTGTTTTGGTAAGCTAGTTCGAGAGCTATGAATGAAAAGTTCTGCATGTAGTATTTTATTTATAATTACAATTTTTTAATTTGGCTCTGTCACTGGCTGTAATAGTTGCCTCTGCCACCTTTGTCCAAATAATGAAAAAGTGGTTGGAATAAATCTGAGTTAAGGTGGCAGGACAGGGCTTTGTATTTTTCTCTTGGTAACTAGCCCACAGTGGCCCATATGAAGCATAAGTCTAAGTCTTTAATTATTGGGGAAGTCTGACCGCCTTGAATGTATTATAGGAACACAGTCTAGTTGAGTATCTTTATTTTCTAGTCATGACAGTCCAGATGAGTTGCAAGGATTTATAATACTTCCTCCAGTAGGATAATCTGCCCCAAACATTAAGTAATATTTAAAAACACACTCTTTTAAACTGTAATGCATGTGCAAGTATTGCCAGTGTTAATTCCCAGGTTTTGCCTTACTGAATATGGCAGCAATACCAATTCCTGTGCAATAAGTGTCTCCTGCCACCATTTTCAGAGCAAGGAGTTTTGGGGTTTGGATGGTGCCTCATAGTGGACCTGACTGCTCTAAGTTAACCATGTAATTTTGTGCCTCCTTCCTGTGATACCAGTCCCATTGTGCAGCCAGTACAGGGAGCTGTTTGCAACTGGTGGCTGGAAACCACCAGACAAGTTCAGTAGCCATAGTCGCAAAGACTTTTTTTCAACGCTGATGGTCCTCATGAAGGGAGTGCAGTAGGGGAAGTTGGGATGACTGTTAGAGAAGGTGCAAAGTCAAGCACAAAAACCACTTCAACAGGGAGAGAAAAAAAAAAAAAAAATCTTTTTTACAGTGACCTGTGGTCCCTTCTGCCCTCCAGGGGTGAAAGGAATGTTTCTCTTGGTGTCACTCCATGATCAGTTAGGCTCCAGGGCTTGGCTGTGCAATATGCCAAGACCTTGTGCCAGAATCCAGGAGAACCTTTTCATTTGCTACACATAATCCATGTGAATGATTTTAGGTGATTTGCTGGAGCAGGAGCCAAGGGGTTTGCAGCTTGATGTGCTAAGCTCTTAGTGAGGGGAAAAAAACACAAGGAACTCTTCCTGCAAGCCTACAGCCCTTTTTGCTGCAGAGGTGGTGGCTCATGGCAATGGGATTTTTGTATTTGCTCGTTTAGTCTTTCAGTGTTAGAAAGGAAGAGTCATTTATGTTGAAGTAATAGAACAGCCAGCCTGAGCAGCTGCAGAGATGAGAAAGCTCTTGTGGGTTGTGTGTATTATATGGCAGTCAAGATGATGGTGGTGGAAGAAATTAAGCAATAGCTAATAGTCCTATGATGCAAGGATCTGCGTGTCACATTCACTTTTTTACACTGGAATCTAAATGTGAAGACACTTTATTCTTGCTTTAATTTCCAAATTTGTCCTACAGAACAGAATTTCTAAAATCAAGCTGTTGTAACATATAAAATTAATAGAACTGTCAGTAATGAACTATTACATAAGAAGCTATTTTAAGAGTGAGCAGACATCTCCTTAGAGAAATGCAATCACTATACTCTGCAGGAAAATCTGTAGGAAAATTTAGCCAAGAGATGAATATGAAATTCCTTGAATATTTTTTTTTTTCCCAAGAAATTAGGAATTTAACAATACTTAAGCTTGGGGTATTGAGAAGGCAACATTAACTGTGGGGATTTGGTTTGTGTGGCAAGGTTTTGGTATTGGGGGGGCATGGCTTCTGTGAGAAGCTGCCTGTGTCTGACAGCCAATGCTAGCCAGCCCCAAGATGGACCTGCTGCTGGCCAAGACCAAGCCCATCAGTGATGGTGGTTGCACCTCTGGGATACCATATTTAAGAAGGAAAAAAAAAAACAACCAAACAAACCACCTCAGCTGGAGAAGAGAGGAGTGAGAATATGTGAGAGAAACAACTCTGCAGACACCAAGCTCAGTGAAGAAAGAGGAGGTGCTCCAGGCACCAGAGCAGAGATTCCCCTGCAGCCCGTGGTGAAAAGCATGGTGAGACAGGCTGTGCCCCTGCAGCCCATGGAGGTCCACGGTGGAGCAGATCCCCACCTGCAGCCCGTGGAGGTCCACGGTGGAGCAGGGGGATGCCTGGAGGAGGCTGTGACCCTGTGGGAAGCCCGTGCTGGGGCAGGCTCCTGGCAGGACCTGTGGAGAGGAACCCACACTAGAGAAGGTTTGCTGGCAGGACTTGTGACCCCGTGGGGCACCCACGCTGGAGCAGTTTGTGAAGAGATGCAGCCTGTGGGAAGGACTCATGTATGAGAAGTTTGTGGAGGACTCTGTCCTGTGGGAGCGACCCCACGCTGGAGCAGGGGAAGAGTGTGAGGAGTCCTCCCCCTGAGGAGGAAGGAGTGGTAGAAATGATGTGTGATGAACTGACCACAGCCCCCGTTCTCTGTCACCCTGCGCTGCTGTGGGGGGAGGCGGTAGAGAAAATAGGGAGTAAAAAGTTAAGCCTGGGAAGAAGGGAGGGGCAGGGGGGAAGGTGCTTTTCAATTTGGTTTTGTGTCTCATTACCTTACTCTGATTTGGTAATAAATTAATTTTCCCAACTTGAGTCTGTTTTGCCTGTGATGGTAATTGCTGAGTGATCTCTCTCTGTCCTTATCTTCACCTACAAGCCTTTCATTATATTCTCTCCCCCCTGTCCAGCTGAGGGGAGTGATAGGGCAGCTTGGTGTGCACCTGGTGTCCAGCCACTAGGTCCTCCACCCCTTTTTCAGTCTTAGAAAGAAGAATATATTTTGTCTGAAACTTGGAGGAAGCAAAATCTCTGAGTCATTTATTCCATCACAGTGGGTTCCCAGCAAGATACATCTAGCTGAGCTTAAACTGGGGGAAAAAAAAAAAAAAAAAAAAAAAAAAAACAAACCTTTTTCTTGATGTGAATGTGATAATTGCTCTGAGTAAATGAGCCCTGAATGACCCTTTTTCAGATGACAATGCGCAGCTGCTCAGTAGAGATGGAGCTAAAGGTGCTTTGGTGTGCTCAGTCTTATGGAACACAGATGGGGTGGGCCATGTTAGCTCCAGGGTAGGATCCTGTGGCTGCTGCACAGCAAAGCACATCCAGCTTCTGAGGGCCTCTGCCAGGACTTGAGTAGAGTTGCTTTATGAAGAGGAGTTGCCCCTCTGGCTATGGGCTGCACTCAACAGCACTGTGTTGTCATCTCTGTGTGCATCTGAGGACCTGCTGAGCATGGCAAACATCGGTCTCAGCCTGTGGTCAGATTTGCAGGAGTGTATGACGGGGTAACTGCAACCGCTGGTGCATCAGCAGGTTTTAAAAGATTGAAGGCTTATCCATCTACTTGTTTTGCTGAACTTGCAAACAGTAATGCTTTCCCTTCCAGTAAGGAGAGCTGGAAAAATGGATCACAAATTAAATGTCCATTTATCCTTAAGATAAATGCATTTTAAAGATTGCCATTTAAAGGTTCATGATTGTGCGCCTTCTGCTTGGAAACCTAAAGGTGAACTCAACAGCTCAAGTTTTAGCTGACTGCTCCACAACCTTCAGCTTTCAGCTGTGGAGACCACTGCCCAAGGGTTGTGTCAGTCCTCATGGTTCTGCAGTTGCCGGCATTTTTGCTGAAACTCAAGCAATGCACTTTTGGGGCATCAGAGAGACTACTTGTGAGCTTCTTCCCAACAGGAAGGTTGCACAAGGGCTGCCATCCTAATAGTGTGTCATCAGTCACTTGAAATACTGATCAATGACATTATTTTTGTCTAGAGTGCTTGAAGTAATGGCATCTGGCATGCCTGATACTCTTTTCTGTCCTCCTCAGCTATGCTGTACCACGTGCATTTTGTACACCGGTCAAGCTCAGTCACTCAGGAATTTCACCAGGGTTCACTGTTTCTCGTTGCTCGTAGTCAGAAGTCTGCATCTTTAATCAAAAATTGGAGAGAATTTCAAGAATAGATGAGATGGCAAGTGCAGTATTTCCTGCTGTCTCTATATTTTGCTGCTGATTCAGCCACTGAAATAGCAAACCTCATGCAGCTGTGACCTAGTAGGTTCTCTTGCTTTTTGAAATGCCACTCAGAAGTGATTAACTTGCAAAGGCTGTGGCTGAAGGTGACAAATGTCTCATGTTTAATGAAAGAAATCATGCAGACTGACCTACTTGCAGCTCTAATATTGACAGAAAACTCTGCATAGGCTTTTGTTGTTAGACCTAACTCTAGAAGATGAAGTAGCCCAATCCCCTGACATGGCTAATAAGTGTGGATGTTGCCCAGCATTTAGAAAAGATCTACAAGACAACGTGTTACCTTTGGAACTCAGTTTCTCATTGTGTGGAATGGGCATGAATGCTCATTTCTAGAGGATGAGACTTGGGTAATAAGCTTTTGTGAAACCTTGAGTTGGGTGAAATGTTTTAAGACACTGATTTTCATGATTATTAAAATGATAGAGAAGTTTCAGAATTGAGCTTCCATTCATATATCCCCAAAGTATCATTGAGAAACCATGTAATGTGATTTTTTTTTTAAATCACCCCGTTTAAACTTTTTTTGACTGCAATAAAATTGGATGTCTTGTAATTATTGCAAAAAGTCTCTGCTTGGTGCTATGTCAAGCCTGTTTGCAAGAAATGCTGGAAAGACGTAGTCCTTGTAGCCAGGTGATGATCACAGCGCTAGTACTCTGAGTGGATGGAGTTTTGTGCACGAGGGAAAATTAATGAGTGTGGAAATGGAGAATTCTCAGTGCAACTTCTGTTCTTTCTATAACTAAGATGTACACATGATACTCTTAAATTGAAACTGCTTCAGCACATTCTTATGTCTAGGTCTGTTTCAAAAGCCCTGTTGAGAGTGTGTGTGTATACACGTTATATATGTGTAAAAGTTGGTTTGTATGTGTATGTATATAAAAATAAAAGGCAGCGATTGAGGCAGAGTTCTTATCTTAGTAAAAGAAGAGATTGTAATAAGAAAATAAATACCAAAGCACAAAGCTATTTCACTCATTCTGTACCAGTAAATAGCTGCTAATGAGAATCAGTCCCTCTGATGCTACTGGTTTTACAGCTGCAAAAGCCATTGGCCGTAAATCCTTGATGGCTGATTGCAAAAAAAACCCAGAACAACAGTATTTCAGGATATGTTAAAACAGTTTTTAAGTAAACTATTTACACTACCCTAATGTAGTTGTTTGGTTTGTTACAATTCCCTTCTACCATTTGCTTTTATTTTCTGCTCGTTGAGATCTGGTGTTTTAGGTTGGTTTCTTATTTTGTTTGTTTGTTTTCTGTGGTTTTGTTTTTTTGTTTTGTTGTTGTTGTGTTTGTTTGTTTGTTTGTTTTTCCAGAACCCTGTGTAGTTTAATTCCGGTTCAAGCCAAAAAGAGCTGCTTTGATTTAATTTGAGAATGGTCAAAATGAGACCCCTTTAGTAGCCAGAATTATTTTCTATATTTGATATCAATTGGGGGGTGTTGTAACCTGCCAGAATCTGCATTTCCTTCATGGATGCCCTGTTTGCTACAGGCTTTTACCAGTTCTACTAACACCTCTGTGGAAGGTTCCTCCAAGACCAGCCACAGTTTCTATCTCTCCCCTCCATTATGGGAAAAGAGAAGGGTAAATCTGCTTTTTGTGGCCTTGCCTATTGGATTAAATTTCCTAAACTGCTATTACAGGAGACTGTGACAAGTATTGGGAAATCAGGTCACATCATGGCTCTCAGCTGGACAGTTGTATGCTTCTGCAAGAGGCATGTATTTTACTTGACTCTTGTTGTCCATCACATAATGCTTTACTGTTTTGCAGGGTCACAGGGAAAATAATGGTCCCAGAGGTAAGATAAAGGTCATCTTCCTCAACAGAATAACTATGCAATGTTTTCTCTTCTAAAGAACATTTTTTTTCTATTCTAAGCATAAATGTCTGAAATGATTTATCCTTAAAAGAAACAATGATACTCTAGGAAAGCTTCAGTTATTTCACAGTAAGTGAAAACAATTTGCAGAGAGTTAGATGCAAGATATTCTAAGGTTTTAATTAAAAATAAATAAGAAACAGTACCATAGTAATAGAAGAGGTGCTCCTTCTTGGTTAGCCACTGATGAACTCGAAATCGCTGAGCCTTGCAAAATCTTGCTTCTTTTCCTGTGATATATTTTGGTGTCTGATACGGACTCTCTCAGCAAGTGTGTTTTGCTGTAAGCTTCAGTGAAGGAAGATGGTGCTCTATGGGCCTTGGTAAAACTAAAGGAAACAGTCTCCTAGGCTTCCATGGGATGAGGCCGGGGCGGGTAATGGGCTAGTGTAATTCTGCTGAATTAATTGAATCAGAAAGACCATTCAGTGTTCACAGGCGCTGGGCCAGTGGAGCTCAACCGTTGTGTGGGAAGGACATATTTAGTCCTGCGGGGAGGGCAGCCAAAGGGAACGGGTGCAATAGTTTCTGCTGCATTGGCTGGCCCCAGAAGAGCCGAATTAAGGGATCAGCCAGGGCCATCACGTTGTGGGCGTGGGGGAAAGTAAAGCGCAGAGGATGCCAGTCCTTGCTAAACTTTTCGGTGTTGTTTGAATATACAGTACGTGGCACGTGTAAGCCTGTAAAAAGGAAAAAGGTAGAGGAGTGAAGAGCGAAGCTCAAAATTAAAGATGTAAAAGATAGGATTGGTTGGTGAGTCTTGCATAACTCCTAGAAGTTATCTATTTTGAAGCGGTTGCCATGGCTGTGCTGTCTGTTTGATAGTGACGGTACAAAGTAAGCTGGTGTAAGTGTGAAAACCTCTACAAGTAGTGCCTGCCTGCAACAGATGCTTTGTGGCTTTTCGTTTTGTAATGAGGCAGTATTAATGACTTGCATCTTTCTTCTTTTTCCTCTCATTTCATTATTCCAGAAACTGAACTGGAATACTTTCTGTGAGGATCTCAGATCAGAAATAGTGAGGCGGATGCACCAGTGTAAGAACAGAGGCACTTCCAGAGGCATAGGCAGTAAAGTCAGCAAATCAGGCTTCTAATTTCCCATTCTGCCAATATCATGTCTTACTAACGAGGATGTTTTGCATATTGTGCTGACATGACTGGAAGAGAGGTCAAAGTAAAATAAAAATAAGTATGTGAATGGTATGAATAGTAATGCAAATGCTGAAAATTCAGTCATTTTAGGTGTTTTAACTTTTTTTTTTTTTCAAGGATACAGTTTTACTAGCTTCTACTCTGTTCATCCCAAAAGGTAATAGACATTGTGAAGATTGCACAATATACAGTGGGAAATGTATGAAAATTTACCATGTTCTATGGGGCCAACTGTGAATTTTATTCTTAATTAAATTAAAAAAAAAAAAAAAAAAAAGAGTCCAAAATCACAGCTGAACCCTCTCTCTCTGTAGATCAAGCAGAAAATAAAACTTTGATAAAAGCCCATGAGAAATTCTTTAAATCCTTTCCCCTTTTATCCCTGCTTCTTTGCCTGGAAACTAACTCGTGCTTATTGGAGTTGAAATTCTGCTGGTCTGTCAGCCGGTCAGCATCTGAAAGGAGCGGTGATATTTCAGAACTTCCCATTTTTTTTTTTCTTTTGTTGTGCATTGATAAAAGATGATTGGTTTTATCTATTCAAAACTGTGTTGAACACCCCTCTTTGTACTATCAGATTAGTGTTTTTATGTGATTTTTAAATATTGCAAGTATGGACAGATCCTCAGCTAATAGAAAGATATTCAGGTGGCTCCCCAGAAATCAGGGCAAATATTTCAATGCTAATCTTATGCTAGCTAAGTATTTAGCTCATTTTCTCATAAGATTTTCAGAAAATAGCTATTAACATTGCCTTGAAATTGTTAATTCACAAAAAAGTGTCAGACTCTGAAGAACTGTGCAGGATCTTGAAGCTGAAATTTGTAGGGATTTGAGGGTTATTACTGAAAAAGATATATGTGATTTCTAACTTTGCCTGGTTTTGTGTTTAAACAGCTTTCTTGGGACTTGCAGGGCAATGGGGGAAGAAATATTTTGGTTTTGAGGATGTTGAAGGGTTATACTTTGTTTATCAAAGTTGTTATATATTTGCAAAATATTTCGTTAAATCAAATTTTCTGGTTTTGCGTTTGATGACAAAATGTTTTGACTGAGAAGAGATCCCTGGTGTTTTTTTGTGTGTCATCAGGTAGCTGAAGCTTGTCTCAGAACCATCGGTACTAGCAAGGAAGTCTGTAGCCAGTCCCACTGTGTCAGGCAGCATAATTTTTTGAAAAACCTTTCATTGATGGATTAATAGTTCTCTCACCAGAAAGAGGTGCTGTACCATCATGGTAAAAGTACGGGGGCAAGGGGGGAGCCAAGTAGTTTACGTGTTGGAAAACTGCAACCTAGAAATGGTTGTTGTGACTCATTAGATGATTTAATCTGGAAACAGAATAATTATATCCTGTCCTCACCTCTGTTTTACTCGGGAGGGAGGACTTGAGCCACTAGTGAGTTTGACAGCTAGGTGACCTTTTGGTGAAGCACATGGCTGCGTCAATTCTGGCTCAACAATAGAAGGGCATGAATTCATTTGATACCAGTATTACGCCAGAGGTCCTGATATCCTGGCTTGATCTTTGCTTTGGTTTCCCTTTGTGTTTTAGTGCTGTGCTTGTAGCTTGTGTGCTGGATACAGCAGTGTGGGACACATCGGCTGTGTCAGTGGAGAGATGCTTTCTCATTTCATGAGTCTTTGGACTAAACCCTGGTTTTAATTAGTTAAGACCCGATATTCCCCAAATTGCCTGATCCATGCGTGGCCGTTAGCAGTGGACGTGACAGCTTCCACCACCCTGTGCTTGGGAAGCACCGATGTATCCCTGCGACTGGAGCACCAGTGGGTCCCACGGTGGTGGTCTGCTGTGCTGTGCAATTAGTGACGTACCTCACATGAAATGCCCGCTCTCATTTTAGACTTCAGCTCTTTAATTGCACCCTACCTTATTACGATGGAGTCGTGTGTTGTCCAACAGGAAGGTGGGAAAACTGGACGTGCAGGGTTCTCCTATAAGAGTATTTTCAAGCAAAATGAGCACTTACTGGTGAGTGTTATGTGCTGATCTTCAGTAAGTCTAACCTGCAGTGAGAAGAGGAGCGTGGCTGTAGGAAAAAACCTGCCTGTAGAGGAAAGTGAAAGGAAGAATATGCATCAAACAGCAAAGAAAAATTAAATGTGGAAGAAAGAAGACAAACGAGTACAGGGAGGTGAAAAAAATGATTTATCTGTGTCTCACTGTGACGGCTGCTAAACAGACACTTGAAACAAAGGAAGAAGAGGAAAAACTCAGAGAAGTTTGTGTTACATTTATTAATATGCCTGTCTTGCCTTGTATTCCATAGCAGAAAAGGTCTGTGGGTACGACTGAATGTGGGGGGGAGGCAGTTAGGCTGAAAAGACGTTTCTTTTTCTTGGAGCTGTCTGCACATCTGCATGCTCCATACAGCCACAGGCCTTCAGATCCCTGCCCACAAGAGAGTGGTGTTGAGCCATCCACTTCCATACCAGCTATGAGGGTTCAATTTACAGGTTTTTTTAATGTAAAGTACATTTTAACCTCAGTGCTACTTATGATTTACAAATAAAGTTTGACTTTTCCATCAAATATGCTCTACCCTGAAATGAAAAAACATAAGCAAATTGGTATTCAAGTGGGGGTTTTAGAGTAGGAAAGGAAACTGCACATACATGGGCTATTGTATCCATGATACATACCTGGCTTATTTGTTCCTGCTTTTTCTCTTTTTACTGGAGGGGAAAAAAAAAAAAGAACCGCAAAACAACAGACAGACACGAAAGAATTTGAGTGTGAGTACAGCCAGGACTGATGTGAATGCACTGAGGCTTCCCAGGCTGTTGCAGATCATAGTCTGCCAGATGGTGTTGATAGGGCTCTAAGTATATCTCTCATTGCCTGTTAGTTATTAATTAACAGCTGATCAGGAAATGAATGGAAGTCTCTGTGTAACTTCCTTCCCAGATCGTGCACCTGCAGGCTTTCATGAGCCTCTGAAACAGCCTTCGTTTAGGATAGCTATATAAATAGTTTAGATTCTTAAAAGACCACAGCCTGTAGCAGCTCCCGTTGGAAATGTTGGCAAGCACCGCTTGTCCTTTCCTATTTGAAATAATTGCTTGGGTCGGTGTGGACCATAGAGCCGTTTCATGGGGAATTTAGTTTTCTTGAGAGTTAGCGAGCTAAGAAAACTGGTGGGAGACAGTGCCTCTGACCAGCTCTGTTCAACCTCAGATCAGTTGTGCTGCACCGCAGGAATGCCACGAGGGGTTTTCCGTGCCTTATTCTTGAGGAGGCAGGAGAATATCTAGGTATGTCGATGCATGGCCAGTTGTGGCTCTTTAGGTATCTTGTGATAGGTATTCTGATAGGGAAGTTTGCCCAAGTATTTTTGCATGTATGGCTTTCTAAATTAATTTATCTATTGAAAACTAATCACTGATAGTTATAGTGTTTATCTAATATGCATGTGTGTATATATATATTACATCCTCTGGACTAAGTAATATTAGTACATTACTTCTTCCTTCTATTTTACCTCAAAAGAAAGAAAATTCAGCTGCCTTCTAAAGGCTCCTTGTACTGAATTTGGACTGAAATTTTTATACTTGGAAAAATTAAATTTCAGCACAGCTTTTTTGACTCTAAAAGCAGCCCTTCTCAATTAGAGATCTGCAATGTTCTGAGGCCTTTCAAGATTAACAAACATGTCTTAAGATGGAGCATAATAATAAATGTATATGAGCTGGTGATTAATATTATGAAACTGAACTATCTCCTAGTAGGTTTTTCAGTGAAAAATCTCAACCAAGTGTGGTATATCATTAAAAACATTTTAAAAAATCACAGAGAGTCTAAGTTAAAAGTCCTCCTATGTGTCCTTCTTATCCTGTTACTTAGCTCTGTGTCTGAAAACAGGTTCCAAGAGCCATACAGACTACACGGTTTCACAGTTTGTCTTACGCACTAGTCCAGGAGCCCTCCATCATCAGTGTTTTACTCAATATAGCAGGAATTCTGTCTACTTGCACATAATAATTCCTTTATGTTATTACGTGGCATTTTTTAATCTTTCAGCCATCTCGATTTGTCAAAACCACATATTGCTTTTTAAAAATATTGGTGCTCTTTATTTCTTGATCTAGCCTTATTAAATGAAGTACTGAGTGTATTTCTGCGCATGATTTTCATGATGTCTGAGAAGACAAGTGCCAGCCAGGATTCTTATCGCCTGAATGTATGGACCGTGAGTTGCACGTATAATGTGGGGGGACTGACTCCAAAATGGGCCAAGGCTCCGATGAGGCTGCTTGTGTGCTGCTGCTAAATCAGGCTTTCGTCTTTCAAGGCATGATGCAATTAGAGCATTAGAGACTCTCATCCTGTCTCCTGTGAGCTGCTGTGCTGGGCTGTGTCATGTTTGACCACATTGCCTACATAAGCTGAAATTAAATGTTTAAAAAAGAGGGAGAGAAATAAACATCTTTCCCAGACGGGGAACATTTGAATCCCGTTGGGGAGGAGCTATTTTAAAGCTCAGACTGAGGGATGGCTATTTTTGTCCTTCAGCCAGACGGACTCAGCTAATGGTCTATATTGTTCAAAACGTTTTGTTGACCAAATTCTTAAAAAGAAGAAGAAAAGAACAGAAAAAGTCCTTAAGCCAGCAAGATGGCTCTAAACTGAAAATATCTTATCTGTATTTGAGCCCTTCTGTAGTTTGGGGCTGCGGAGATGTGTTTTGTCTTGCCGTATTTTTCAGGCGTGCATTAGCTTTAATAACGAGACACGGAGATAGAGGTCAGCGTGGCTATTTTAAGGGCAATTCTGCTGAAAGCACTCATGTTGCACAAGTTGTGCAGTCTCCAAGCGTGGCTCCAAAGTTGGTGATTATTTCACTTAATCATTTCAGGCACATAGTGCAGTTAGAGGCTTCCGGGGAAGTGTAACACAGAAGCAGACAGTTAGACAGCAGAGACTGAGTAGCATCGGGTGTCATTGTGGCTCATCTACTTCACTGCTGATGTTCCACTGAGTACTTGCCTTAAGACGGACTGTATAGATGGATCTAAGTCTTGAGGTGGAGGGTCAAACATATTTCCTATTACCAATGGATGCCGTTTCATTCGCTGTTGAACCTGACTGCCACGTGAGGTGGCTCTGCAGCTGCTTGGGAATACCATGAAACAAATGTAAGTGGAGAAAAAAGCCATATCCACTTGTGATGGGAAAGTTGATGTAAAAAGCATGTCGAGATTCACAAAGAAGTTTTTCAAGACTGTTTGTTTAATAATCTTTGGCGACGACAGGCAGCAAAGCCATTGTCCTTAAGGAGCAAAAAATTGTGCAACGTTGTGCTTAATCTGCTCCTTGTGGATTCAGGAAAAGCACGGCCTTAACCTGGAGTACCGACATCTCCTGTGATGGTCCTGGTTCTGCTGCTAATATTCTAGATAGCCCGTAAGTGGCTTATTTCAGCTCTAATGCTGGCTCCCTCTTGCTCAGGAATTGACAAAAGCCAAGTGTGGCTTTGTATAGCTAAACAAGCCCTGCCCTGCTCCTGGGCCCCTCTTACACTTCCTCCAAGGCAGCATTTCAGGGAGCTTCCCTTGCTGCTGGGAGCTCGGGGATGGTGGCTCTTGGGGTTTTTTTCACTTGGCTGAGGACAGGTACGCACTGCCCTGGGGCGGGCAGCTGCTCTCAGGGCTTTGCAGGGGACAGGAGGGTTTCGGTATCCCCCGTGGCATTGTGCCCCTGGCTTCTGCCCTGCGTGACTGCTCCTCTCTTCCCTCGGGTTTTTCCCTTGCTGTGTGCATCCTCGACTTTGGCAATTTGTGCAATTCTCTATTTATTCCTCAAATAGAATTCAGTACTGAGGACGATGTGTTATTTGTGACAACATATGAAGATCAGGCTCCTATCAAATCTGCCACCTGCACGTGCGATGGCTCGCTGCCTACAGCCTCCTGCAAGACAAAGAAGTGCCTGTAGGTGGGTGGGTGTAATGCCTGTTGTTCAACGAGCTATGGGTTTAAAAATACCACTTGTGAATTACCTGATGGGAGCAGTTTTAGAAGGCAGTCCACGCCTGGCACATTTTAGTTCTCTGGTGGGAAAAGTATTTGAAGAGATGTTTATTTCAAAACAAAATTAACTAAACAGGCAGGGAACAGGAGGACACAGAGAGGGGGTAAATGTCTTGCGGGCTCAGGCATCATCGGTGTTACAGTGACTGGTGGTTTTCATCACGGCCTCAATGCCTCTTCGGGGTCGCTCAGGTCACTGGATTCATACTGGGGAGAGGGGAGCAAAGGGGCAATGAGATGGGGTAAACTGGGAGGGGAATAAGGAGGCAGATTGCTTTTCACAGGGTGACAGGGACCTTCTGGTGAGAAGGGAGGAGTGAGGAGAGAGAAACACTCTTGCCATAAGATGTCTGTTGTCTCTAGCTCTAGCTTTCAGCATCAGAAACACGGAAGGCATTTACATGAGCTCATTTCTCCTTTAGGCAAAGGTTTGGGGTTAGTGAAGACTCAGCATAGTTGAGCTGGTTTAAGATGTGTGTCTGGTCCTCAGTCAATTCCTCCAATTTTTACACAAATCTGTCTCACCTCTTTTGTATGGCTTCTAAAATTTTTTGAGTGAAGGCTTCAAGGATGACTCCAGATGGTTGTGTTTACTCTGGACATTCAAGATGCGTCTCACATAGTAAAACTTTGATTTCTATTTATCTTATTTGCTTGTTATTTACTTTTATTTGAAGAGCTTTGTTTGATCATTTCCTTGCCACTGCAGAAACTCCTTGGTAAATTATGCAGTATATAACAGTACTGTTATAAAAATGTTTCCATTGCCTTTTGCCTAAATGAAGGATAAGGGAGTAGAACATTCTTTTGATAGCCCTTTTTTTGTATGTCTGTTCCAGTATGTTATATTAAAAGGAGTTTAGACTCTCTTAATCTTTAGAATCTTTTAATCAAAGACTGGTATTCATTTCCAGGTACCCTTCTCTAGTGCTGTAGCAACAACTTCCCGTCTGAACCGAGTTATGCTGATTTCAGTGGTGAAAATCCAAAAATAGCTGTGAGGAGAGGAATCAAATTATAGTTCTACCATGAGATGAGGTGGTGGGAAGGAGAAGGATGCTGCACCTTCCTGCTGCATGGTGCCTGTCTCCTTGTGCTCAGAGGGAAGCAGGACCCAAACTGGGAGCAAACAGCATCGTGAGGGGGTACCACCTTGCAGGGAGCTGTGACTGTCACCTCCCTCCCCCCCAGAAATTAATCTCCTGAGGTCTACAGCCAGAAAAAAAACAGCCTGTCAGCAGCACCACACATTGTAGAGCAAGATCTCCATGACTGTCACACCAGGATCTAATTATTCCAGAAAAGAAGGATTAATAATTTAGAGTATTTCTTCATGCAAAATTCTCAATATTCCTATACGTTGTTACCCCTAAACCCAGAAGGTCCAGGCCTGAGCATTGGTGAGCTGTGCATAGCCGAGGGGTCTGTGGTGCCCAGAACGTGCCTGTCTCTCGCCCCCCACTCCTGTGCCCCTCGGTGCTGCATCCCTGCATCCCACGCCTCCATCCCGGCAGCGTCTCCCTGCGCAGCACCGCTGCGTCGGAGTCACGGCCGTAAGCACCGGGGCAGCCAGAGGAACGGCCGTCACAGGCAAACCCAGAACACACACACACTGCAGGCAGGTCAGGAACAGCTCAGACAGAGCAAGCCTGGCTCAGCAGGAAGATTACGGCTGCCACCGGCAGTGGCGAGGACGTGCCACGGGGCTGCCCCGGTGCAGGGCTCAGCCAGCACGGGCTGCTTTTGCCAGTGGATCTGTGCTGGGAAATGGGTTTTCTTGAAAAGTTCACAGAAGTGAGTGGTTTTTGACGATGCCTGTGCAAGCACGCTGTTTGCATTTATGCTCGGCCAGGTCTCACTAGCTTTATTTTGGGGTTTGGTTATATTAAGGGTAAAAAAACCTGGGAGGATAATCAAACCAAAACCTGCCTTTATTCCATTTATTTTTCAGTTCTGCGACTAGGCATTGGAGGGAATGGAAAGATTGGAGCTTACCTGCTGGAGCTGGAGCACGTTAGTCATATGAAGAGATGACAGCTGTGGGCATGGGCAAGATCTGAATGTGGGCTGGGTAGTGAAGTGCTTAAGCCCACAATGCTGAGAGGAGTGCGGGTGAGATGAATCAGTTTTTGTGGTTCTGGCCTGATTTGTTCAGTGAGGAGTGCCAGACCCTGTCGAAGATGGAGGATGATGTTTCCAAGGATCCTCCTGCTCCTGCCCCATGCAGCTGGGTGGACGGAGGAAGTCCTTTCATGGCTCTGCATCCCCATTTGGGCTGCTTCTGGAGACGTGCCTGGAGGAAGACAGAGGTGGTGATGCCACTTCCTTATAGAAAGCCACGAAGCATACCGTGTAATTACATCTGGGCAGAGCAGGGCTGCTCCCACAGCACAGGCACCTTACAGTTAGCATATGTGACTTGAGAAGGCATGTAGTGCCGGAGCTTGCAGACATTTCAAGAGGCACAAATAATAGAAAGCCTCAGGAAAGTTTTTGTCAGTGACTTGAGACATGAAGCTACTAAAAAAAAAAAAAAAAAAAAAAAAAATTGGAGGGGAGTGCTGTGTACCTGCTCCAGCTGTGAGACAGTGCAGGTTGGGAGCAGTGATTCTTGACCCTGCTTCCCCTGCCAGCACCTCACCTGCATTTGTTTGCATCAGTCTTCCCTGCTTGGTTATCAAACATATCTTCACATCTTTTCATTTGTGCCTGGCTATGCAAAAGTGTGAATTCTGTGCATGAGAGTAATTGCTTATCCAGTATTCATTTCTTAGGGGCATTTTTTTTTTTTTTAATATTTCTGTTTGTATTATCTCATGTGCAATATTTTTCTATGCATTCAGCATGCAGAATAAAAGCATTGTGTGACAAGAGGGGGTTTCAGTGGGAACAATGGAGAGGAAATAGCCTGAGTCAAACGGTTACGATTAGCACATGCAACCACACGAACGTAACTCCTTTGAGGTGTACCATTGAATTCAGCTGGAAGTTTAACAGAGTGTGAATATGCTTGTCCAGCAAAATTAGTCTGTTGTGTAAGACTTCAGTCTGTCATTTACAGCATGGTCATTTAAGTTGATTGGTACAGAATTACAAAGAACAGCTGGGGGAGGGGGGGAGGCGGTGAAAAAGCTTTATTCATGAATAGATCAAAAGAGGA